CAAGGCGTTACTGTTATCAGCTCACGGATACACAACAGCAGGAAGTACTCACTGTACGTGAAGTGTGAAGTTGTATCAAGTTAGGGACAAAGGCGGAGGCTAAACATAGTGCTTTGAAAATATATACACTGGTCACTGGTGAGACAAAGGGGAGAGGGGGTGCTAAGATGCTGTGGATGTAAAGTATTGATTGACTGAGTTTATTTTTGCGCCGCTTTTAGCAATATTCCAGCAATATGACGGCGGAGGACACCGGAAATGGGCGTCACATATCGTACCCATGGATGTAAAGTATTGTGACAAAGAACAAAAGGTGGTATGACATTGAGGGAGAGGGGGTCACAACTGATCATTTATTATATTAAAAAATGCTTTTTACATAAAAGGTGAAGGTAGGGGGTCAGCAAAATATGACACCCCAAACACTAGACTAATGCATAGTCTCTGAATATATATAATTTTGATAGTAACAAATAAACCCATTTAACCCGAAGGAATCTAGACTTGCTTCATTTAGGGCTTAAGCATTGCAGGGAGGGGTAGGCTGTACGGAAGATAATGTGGTTCAGGGACTGTGAGACAGACTACCCTAACACCAACTCACCTTCCCGTTATTAACTAAAGACCAGGCTTATTGTAACCACTGTAACAAGAAGACAAAGTCATCAATATCCCCCGCAATGGCAAAATACTCTTCATGATTATGTCTACGAGTTATGTTTATGTCAAATATTTAGGTGTGTATATAGAAAAGTGGAAGGAGAGTATTGAAAGGTTTTTAAGTTCTGCTCCAGAAAGGAGCACTATCACCAATTTCAGTCTATGTCAAACTTGTTGCCATGGAAATGCCAAAAATATTTTATTCAGAAATCCAAAACTACCAAAAGGCACCAGTACACCACAAGATCTATGTGCCAAGTTTGGTGAAGAAACATAGAACGGTTTTAGAGTTCTGCTCCGGAAAAGTGAACTACCACTAATTTCTGTTTTAGTCAAACTTGTTGCCACGGAAACGCCAAAAATATTTTATTCAGAATTCCAAAACTACCAAAAGGCACCAGTACACCACCAGACCAATCTATGTGCCAAGTTTGGTGAAGAAATTTTGAACGGTTTTAGAGTTCTGCTCCGGAAAAGAGCACAACCACCAATTTCAGGCTAAGTCAAACTTGTTGCCACGCCAACGCCAAAAATATTTTATTCAGAATTCCAAAACTACGAAAAGGCACCAGTACACCACCAGATCTATCTATGTGTCAAGTTTGGTGAAGAAATAGTGAACGGTTTTAGAGTTCAGCTCTGAACAGAGCACTACCACTAATTTCAGGCTAAGTCAAACTTGTTGCCATGGAAACGCCAAAAATGTTTTATTCAGAATTCCAAAACTACCAAAAGGCACCAGTACACCACCAGACCAATCTATGTGCCAAGCTTCGTGAAGAAATTTTGAACGGTTTTAGAGTTCTGCTCCGGAAAAGAGCACAACCACCAATTTCAGTCTAAGTCAAACTTGTTGCCACGGAAACGCCAAAAATATTTTATTCAGAATTCCAAGACTACCAAAAGGCACCAGTACACCACCAGACCTATCTATGTGCGAAGTTTGGTGAAGAAATAGTGAACGGTTTTGGAGTTCTGCTCTGGAAAAGAGCACAACCACCAATTTCAGTCTAAGTCAAACTTGTTGCCATGGAAACGCCAAAAATATTTTATTCAGAATTCCAAAACTACCAAAAGGCACCAGTACACCACCAGATCTATGTCTGTGCCAAGTTTGGTGAAGAAATATTGAACGGTTTTAGAGTTCAGCTCCGGAACAGAGCACTACCACTAATTTCAGGCTAAGTCAAACTTGTTGCCACGGAAACGTCAAAAACGTTTTATTCAGAATTCCAAAACTACCAAAAGGCACCAGTACACCACCAGATTTATCTATGTGCTAAGTTTGGTGAAGAAATAGTGAATGGTTTTAGAGTTCTGCTCCGGAAGAGACAAATGTGCACGGACGGACGGAGTCCATTTTAATACGTTGCGGGGGAAAACGCGTTGCGGGGGATAATAACATGCTGGGAGGTAGGGCCTGTTATATTACGGCAACTGAAGAATATTTCTGTTGCACAATACTACACATGGTGTGAATACATGAAGACCAGATCAATACATCTCCTGTTTAGTGGATTCATTTCCAGGTCAGTATGTACAACTGGAATGATTGAGTGAGTATGGTTTTACGCCGCTTTTTAGAAATATTCCAGCAATACCACGGCAGGGCACACCAGAAATGGGCTTCACACACTGTACCCATGAGGGGAATCAAACCCGGGTCTTCGATGTGCCAAGGCAACACATTAACCACTAGGCTACCTCTCCGTCCCTGTGCAACTGGATTGGAACTTTAGTGTGGTTTCAACAGCTTTGTACAGCATTTTAGTTTTATCGTGGCACATCAGCTCTCATGTTAAAGCCCAGTAGTGATGAAAATATACAGAGCTATAGATAAGGGGCGTACAGGCGTAATGTATGCCTAAAGATATATGAAGTACAACGTAATATAAGATTTCAAGCAATTCATGTACGCACATAAATACCTTTGTATGTCTAACATATATGAAGTTTAGCAGCTGAAAAGTTGTTTAATATTATAAATCACATCACCAACTCGCTCACAACAAAATATGTCGGTACTCCTTCAAAATTTTCAGTACACCTCCACTTAAAACATGAGGTGTCAGTACACCCACACCCCCAAAAGTTATCTGGAGCCCTGATTATACCTGGGCCAAATTGGTGAAACCAGCAAGCATGTGCATGGAGCAACAATCTTAATAGAACTGATAACCATAACTTGGACAAACCGGGCATCCTATCCATAAAGCATTCGTAGCACTATGTCGTTTGGAGTGAGTGAGTATGGTTTTACACCGCTTTTTAGCAATATTCCAGCAATATCACGGCGGGGGACACCAGAAATGGGCTTCACACATTGTACCCATGTGGGGAATCGAACCCGGGTCTTCGGCGTGACGAGCAAACACTTTAACCACTAGGTTACCCCACCGCCCCATGTCGTTTGTAAGCCATTGATATAGTATAGAGTTCTGATAGGTCATAATATCTCTAACACTCTGTGGATTAGGACCTAGGACTTCTTTCGTATGCCTAAGAAATTCAAGTCTACACAACCACTTGTTACACCTTGAGTCAACTGGGCTACCTCTGACGACACCCCCTCTGATGACCCCCCCCTCAATCAATACAATAGAGCCACAAAGCAAAAATGTATGTCACATTCCTTTGAATGCAGATCTCATGAACAAGCAGGTTGTTATGGAAATCTCATTTTTTTAAACCTGGTACACAGAGCCTACCTATTGCATGTACAGAAAATGTGAGCCTTTCAAACATGGTTTAAGATGAATATATCTAAGTGATCTTACTGTCTCCCAAATAATTGAAAAGCACTAAAGATTGTTTTCAAAGTCCATAATGTTACAGTTAAATTGACATTCAGTGTCAGAAATAATATTATTATAATCTAAAAATAAAATATACAAAATAAATCCAAATGGAGCCCAGAACAAATAATAATTTCGGCAGCTATAGCAATCTAGACTTGCTAAATCATTCTAGACTTGAGTAGTACTCCGATTTAAGAACCAGAAAGACAGACTATTTTCATGAGTGAGTGAGTGAATATAATATCACAGCGAGGATGTTTTCAGAAATGTTTGTTGTTGAAAATAGTATTCTGCAACACTCAATCATTAGTCATACATAATAGCCCCAAATAGAGTAAAATACATTTTAAAATAATTTTCATATTTCAAATTTTTGGAGACAGCAGATTAGTAGTGATGTTCTGATAATAAAAAATAATCGAAAATTGATCGAAGGAAGGATAAAAAATAATTATTGATTGTAAAAAAAACATATTTTCAATTAATCAGGATTTTGTTGTTTTAGTATAAGACACTTGAACGAAGTAAACTAACCATTAAATTTAACGAATATTCACGAACAAACGTGCTCAACAGCTTAAAGCTATGTGCCTTGTATTCATAGTTTCATATCCATCACTACGGTAAATATTACTGTAACCGGTCTTTGAATAAATTTTACATTTACATTTCGATTACAATTGATAATCGTTCACCATAAGTCCTCCGATAATCGATAATGGATTTGGTTTCCGATTCCCAACACTACAGATTAGTAAAGCAGGCTTTAAAAAGGGTGTGGCCTCATAAAATACAATAACAAAATGTTTGCAATACATATGTCCCAATTATATTGAGATGCAAAGACTGCAGTGTTTCAGGCTAAACTGTGGGATCCTTATCATAGCTCTCGCATTAATAGATGTATGTCACCATATCTCATAGCATTGATGAACTTTTGATAGAGATACTAATAATTCGTTGCCATGGAAATATATACATTTGATTAGAAAACCACCTTTAAGGACCCAGGGAAGGCAGAAAATTCAATTTAAACAATACTGGATCAGCCTAGTTCATTATCATGATAATAAGCATTAACTTGAATAATTGCAAATCTTGATATCTAAAATAAAAATGACATACAGAATGACTAATATTGGTCATAATCATTACATACATTAATATATCATCATACTCTTGCGTCAGTATATTGACAGAAATCTAATCAATTACATTCCTAAAAAAGGCAAGATTTGGAAGGTCCCTGATTAAAATTACAGAGTAACAAACAAGTTTCAAAATGTACATCAGCCTTCATGCAGACACAAACTAAAATTGAAAGTTTTAGTTTGGTTCTTGTTCAACGCCAGACTCAGGAATAATCAAGCAATATGGTAAAGTACAGAAAAGAAATGACAATCCAAATTCATAACAGCAAAAAATTAATTTTATTATTTCTTCAGATTTTACATTCACAACAAAGCAACAAGCATTCTTGAATAATCAAGCAATATGGTAAAGTACAGAAAAGAAATGACAAAAGAAGTCAATCCAAATTCATAACAGCAAAAAATTAATTTCATTATTTCTTCAGATTTTCCATTCACAACAAAGCAACAAGCATTCCATAAAAAAAAATGACAATGGAAGAGTTATCCATAATGAAAGTTCATAATATTACAAGACAAACCATTCACACTCAATGGATACTGATAGTTGCAACTATTAATGAACAATTTCTGTAAAAGCAATAAGCACCAAACCCAACTGGGCTAATAAATGTGCAGGAATTCATGGGTAATCATAAGACTTTTGTCAGCTTCAAACAAAAATAACAGCCACAGGAACCAGTGGAGTACCTGTTTGAACTGTTTTCAAAGTTTTACAAGTGCAAGTATGGTTTTTACACGGCTTTTAGCAATATTCCAGCAATATCACAGCAGGGGACACCAGAAATGGGTTTCACACATTGTACCCATGTGGGGAATCAAACCCAGGTCTTCAGTGTGATTAGCAGACGCTTTAACCATTTGGCTACCCCACTGCCCCAAAGTTTTACAAAGCTTCACTGAGTAGGCCCGACCTGTGCACCAAAAATCAAGAGTACTCTAATCAATGGCTATATACATATTGTTGCAGTTGATATGAAAATACTAAAATCCAAGGTTACCAAATGGATCAAGTGGTTCTGATTCAGTTGTGCAAGGTTCAATTTTCTATCAGTGAACCCAATCCTGGTGTCCCCTTCCTGTGGTGTGAATGATGGTTACTCACAGACTCTCTACATAGATCCCTGTTGCCAAATCAAGCCATCCCCATTACATCATATACCAGTTGAAAGTTGAGACATGTTAAGTAATCACAGATGTCACAGATGACAAACTCATTCCTTTATCAAATACATTTGTTGGAAAATAAAGAGTAATTTCATACATAATCTATTCATGACGTGAAGAAAGACATTTATTATCACCACTCTATACACCACACTTTAAACAAATGGATTTAATTTTACACCGAGAACAAGCAACATTTTGTTTGGGCTTTACTGTTGTCACACATCAAATACAAGAAAAAAACCTGGCAAAGTTACTTTGAAAATGTATATTCGGCATTTTGGACACCATATAAAGTTCGGAGTTAACTTGAAAACTATACACTCTTTCGCCCACCAAGAAACATTATGTTGCCTTTACTTCCATCACACATTGAAATACAGGCAAAGTTACTTTGAAAACATAACACCTGCATTTTGGACAAAGTTGGGAGTAATTTAAAAACCATAGACTCCTCATCCCACCAAAAAACATGAAACTTTATTTGCCCTTTCATTTCACCAGACATTAAAATATAGGACCAACACTGACAAAGTTATGACAGAAAGGTAAAATGTTGGATTCACAAGCATCTCCCACACCCAAGACGCCTCAGTCACAGTTGTCTCCCTTGTCACAATTTCCAGGCAGTTATCAGAACTGTACGAGTTCCTTGGTTCATGCAGTTTCTCAGACACAACTGTCACACAGATAACATACCCTGTGGCAGGACTTAAAGCTTTCAAAACATACCTCCCCACCTGGGGATGTACCGAAATAGATGTACGATGTTTCTTTCTACCAAACTTATGAATATTAAACACAACAACATGTTTCTCCTTCGTCGGCACTCCAATATTCACTGAATCCCATTCAACCTTCAAGTAAGTATCCCCTATCTCTGTAACTCTGACTGAAAGATCTTTCAGTCTCCACAACAAGTGGTCATCTTCATCTTCATTGGCTGTTCCAGAATGAGGCTCATTACAACCAAAAGCTTCATTGGCCAGCACATCCCACGTGTCTCCATGGAGATGACTGGGAGTTGAGCATGCTGGGATAAACTTGTCAGTTTCTACATCAAGAAATTTCAGTTGGTATTCTCTTGTGTCGAATAATTCCTTTAACCAAAGCATTTCACATCCACAATTCAAAGGGTTTTGCCCAAACAGAAATACTTCTTGTGGATAAAGTGATCCTTTCTTTTTTTCAGGCACTTCTGTGATTCTATTGTGGGAGACATCAAACCATTCTGTCATGGGGAGTTCATCAGGAATATCTTCAATGTAATTCCGAGATAGTGATAAAAATTTCAAATCCCACAAATGTTTAAAAGTCTTAGAGTGAATAGTTTTTATTCTATTGCCAGTCAAATCAAGATACTTCAGGCCTCTTAATCCTTTGAATACATCTTGTTTAAGTGTTTGTATTCTGTTGTTAGCGAAAGACAAATATGTCACACCACTGACACATTTCCACATTGTCTTGTCTATTTTTTCGATAAAATTGTCATGAAATGACAGGATTTCAAGTTTCTCCAAGCCATCACCACAGTTTTCATCCTCTTGCCCAACTGGGATTATCTCCCTTAGTTTATTATGCTCCAGATAAACATGAATGGCACTTTTCAAATGACACAAATCACTCAAATGAACAATTTCAATGTCATTTGAACTCAGTCTGACATACTGCAGGCTTGATGTCAAGTTTTTTGGTACAGAAGTTAAATGATTGTGAGAAAGATTTAGCATCACAAGGTTTGGAACACCACCAGATCCTAACGCACCAATTTCAATCATATTTATGTTGTTGAAACTCAAGTCAAGCATTTTTAGAGTCGACGTTTTTTCCACAGATTTTCCATGTATCACCGACATGCTGTTTGCACTCATGTTGATGGACTGAACATTCTTCATCTGAGGAATACTGTCTCTACCTTCACAGGTAACATGCATTAGGTGGTCCTCCTGTCCCTCGGCACACAAACATCCCTTGGGACATGTTGAAGACATGTCACATGACGATACTACAGCAAGTATTACAATGTAGTTTAAGCCTGTTATTTCCATAGTGACATACAATGTTGGACACGGGTGTAGATATCACAAGGTCAAGTACTAGTTTATAGCCGGACCATCATCCTTATGCATTATCATCAGTGTTGTTATTTCATTCTGAAAGACAGTTACATTTTCTTTCTAGTATAGCCTCACAGTTCAAATAATTTTATTTTTAATATAGACATATCCAAATATCAGCAAACTCTAAATATTTAAAAACTTAATAATATACTAATATTTAATTAAACTTTGTGATAGTTGTACATGTATGCTGTATAGGTTTGGTGTATTTTTGGGTTGAAATAAGAATTAAACTTACGAAACATGTAAGAAGTTGTTTTACTTCAAGAACATTTCAAACAGAGTATTTCTATTTTACTTAAATTTCATGCAAGTGTCCGTCTTGAGCACTGAACATCATATGTATGAATAGAATACACTAACCCATATGGTTTGAGTCTACAAATACACACGATATCACAAAGTCAACTCCTTTGTAGTAGGATATATTCAAAGGATGAAGTCGAATTGCTAAACATCATCTTATGGCATAAAAACCTGGTCTTCAACAGAAATGACATTGCTTGATTCGACTCAAAAAAAATAAAATAATGGAGATACTTTGCAAATTAAATCGCTTGTTTTGTCAACACAAGGGAGCACCTGTCGCTATAAATAGCCACTATTGACCTTAATACGAGGACATCCGGGCCTTACTGGTAAAAAGCTACCTTAAATAGGCACATAAGTCTTCTGTAAGACGTATAAGTTCTGTTGTTTGTACCTTTGTGGATATGTTCTTACGAATCAACCCTCAAATGCTTCCGAACCACATTTCGCATGCAACAATCTCACTAAACGCGGGGGTACCGACGCGAGGGAGGCTTCTTTGACCCGTTTTCCAAAGCAACGGTTTGACGGGAAATTATGCAGGACCGGCAGATTAACAGCATCCAAGACATACCATGCGTTCATAAATAAATATAAGAAACTGATACTAAAGAGCAAAACTGTTACATACGTGGTTACTGCACGTACAAGAGCAGCTTCTTCTACCGGCGAATTTTAGTCTTACGAATTGACCCCAATATACAAAATAATCAACCAATCAAAATATAATGGCGTTCTAGTCACGTGGTTAGTGTTCGTGGCGTGCTCGAGCTGTCGAAAGCAGCTAGTCGAGGTGCGCCATTGTTCGAGGGAAGGGGGATTGTTGGGGGTTCCGACAAAATCCGCCGTTTCATGCGGCTGGTGAAGATATAGGCCTCATTCCCCGATATCAAACAAATATGACGATCATATTATTTCTACTTGACACTAGTGCGTCGATGAATCAACGCACGTACATGGGAACAGCCCTTATCGATGTCGCTAAAGCAGCAGTTGAGACATTTATGAAGGTAAAGCTGACTAAATCAGCTTAAATCGCGGTAATCGGATGTTTTAAGGAATGACCTTATGTGGTGACAGCCTCGCTAAATCAATGTTTTCTTTCTCTTTATTCAGATAAGATCCCGCGATCCGAATAGCCGATGGGACCGATACATGCTACTGACATTTGAAGATCCTCCTGCTAATGTTAAGGTAAAATCCAAGTGTCAGGCAGTACATTCCCTTTGAAATTGTTATGGTCGATTACATCTGCATTGGGCCAGTGGACAAAGCCACGTTTCTTTTACCCCATTCCCCATGAGAAGCTAAATGCAGGCACAAACTGCAGAGGTAAATTCTCCAGCTGTACACCCGCCATTTTCCTGCTCCTCTGACGCGATGCATTGTGGGTATGCTAAGCAACAAGGTCTAATTAGCATATTCAAATCACCCGTGTCACTATGAAGGCAATATGATATGAAAGTGACGGAAAGATTTAAAACAATGAATTAAAATTGCATCAAGAATTCTGCTGCTGTCACATACATGGCATCATATCACAGATATGTCACACTGTACCTATTTCAAATATACACCTAATAATAATTTTATGGTGTGTCAAACTGTTCAATTTTAAAGTCATATTGACCAAATAATTTAATTGAATGTGTAGCATAAAATTTGTCCAAAGCTTAGAATGAATATATATACACAATGCAGCTCAAGCTAAGATTATAGCAAATAATCAAATTAGACTTCATCCAACAAATTCCAAATGTGAGTGGTCATACAGAGAATAAGAAAATATCACTCCTGTCCTCAACCAGCCACAGCAAGGATTACATTCAGACAAGTTCAGAAATTGACCTGTGTCATCTACATTGTGGGTCCAAGGCACTCAAAGACCTTAATTGTAATGGTCCCAGGTTGTTAAACGGGCTCCCAGAGAGATGTCAACCATTAATCCAGTGAAGCAAGATTTCACCTGTTTGTTCAAAGCAGATGTGGAGATCATCAAGAGGTTTAAGAGTCAGGAAGCATTTGACAGTGTGTCATAAATTTTGTAAAACATTACACATGGAATATAATTTTAAGTGACACTAGAATGTGAATTAGCAGTGCATATTTACAAGCATGCAAATTTTAACAACATGCATCTACTTTAGGTTCTATGCAAGGTTTAATGATTCCCTGTGGGTTGTCAGTAGACCAAAGGAAGAAACAATATTATCCTTTCCTTTAATTGAGATTAATCAAAATACTTGCTTTGTCAAAAAGTCATGATAAAAAACATTTTGTACATTTTCCTGATGTTTCATCACACCAGTGGTCAAAAATGCTGACCTGGCAATTAGTTAGTTAGTGGGTGGGTGAGTGAGTGACTATGATTTTATTCTGCATTATTCCAGCAATATCAGGGTGATCTTGTTATTAGTAATGGCATCCTTGTTATTGGTCATGGTGTCATGGCATCCTTGTTATTGGTCATGGTGTCATGGCATCCTTGTTATTGGTCATGGCATCCTTGATATTGGTCATGGTGTCATGGCATCCTTGATATTGGTCATGACATCCTTGATATTGGTCATGGTGTCATGGCATCCTTGATATTGGTCATGGTGTCATGGCATCCTTGATATTGGTCATGGCATCCTTGTTATGGTAATGGCATCCTTGCTGTTGGTCATGGCATCCTTGTTATGGTAATGGCATCCTTGATATTGGTCATGGCATCCTTGTTATGGTAATGGCATCCTTGATATTGGTCATGGTGTCAAGGCATCCTTGTTATGGTAATGGCATCCTTGCTATTGGTTAAGGTATCCTTGTTATGGTAATGGCATCCTTGATATTGGTCATGGTGTCAAGGCATCCTTGTTATGGTCATGGCATCCTTGCTATTGGTAATGGCATCCTTGCTATTGGTCATGGTGTCGTGGCATCCTTGATATTGGTCATGGCATCCTTGTTATGGTAATGGCATCCTTGCTATTGGTCATGGTGTCATGGCATCCTTGTTATGGTAATGACATCCTTGATATTGGTCATGGTGTCATGGCATCCTTCTTGTTATGGTAATGGCATCCTTGCTATTGGTCATGGCATCCTTGTTATGGTAATGGCATCCTTGTTATTGGTCATGGTGTCATGGCATCCTTGTTATTGGTCATGGTATCCATGTTATTGGTTATCATGTCCATGTCCAAGGACACCATATAGCTGGAATATTGCCAAGTGCAGCATTAACCAACAAACAAACTAGTCAACATATAGTGTTATGTTTGTCATATTGTCCTTGTTATTAGTTATGGTGTCCTCGTAAGTGGTCAAGGTGTCCTTGTTAGTAGTTATGGTGTTCTTGTTAGTGGTCGAGGTGTCCTTGTTAGTGGTCGAGGTGTCCTTGTTAGTGGTCAAGGTGTCCTTGTTAGTGGTCGATGTGTCCTTGTTAGTGGTCAAGGTGTCCTTGTTATTAGATACCTGTGAAGGTCCGGGTTAGAATGTACCTTCAGTAACCCATGCTTGTCATAAGAGGCGACTAACAGGATCGGGTGGTCAGGCTCCCTGGCTTGGTTGACACATGTCATCGGTTCCCAATTGTGCAGATCGATGCTCATGCTGTTGATCACTGGATGGTTGGTCCAAACACGATTATTTACAGACCGCCGTCATATAGCTGGAATATTGCAGAGGCCGGTCTAAAACTACTAAACTCACTCACTCCTTGTTATTAGTTATGGTGTCCTTGTTAATTGTCAAGGTGTTCTTGTTATTAGATATTGTGTCCTTGTTAGTGGTGAAGGTGTCCTTGTTATTAGTTATGGTGTCTTTGTTAGTGGTGAAGGTGTCTTTGTTATTAGGTATGGTGTCAAGGTGTCCTTGTTATTAGCTATGGTGTCCTTGTTCATAGTCAATGTGTCCTTGTTATGGCGTCATGGTGTCCTTGTAAGTCAGTGTTTTTGTTATTAGTCAAGGACACCATGTAGCTGGAGTAAACAAACTAGTCATGGTGTCCTTGTTAACAGTCGCTGTGTCCTTGCTACTAGTCATGGTGTCCTTGATTGAGCATCCCTTCATTTGAAGGTCATAAAATGATAAAATAATAGTGTTATCAAGATAATGAATAATTCTTTGGGAAAGTTGATAGCTGAAAGATTCTCTTTCTTACGTTTTTCATTTACATTCTGAATGTAGTGGGACAGAGTTATACACCATCCGTGGCACAATGTGGCTGTTATATACAGATTACAGATGATGCATTCGAACATGTGTTGAAGTCCAGCATATTCTGAGAACAGGTATTAGTCTGTCACTTTAACTGCGGGTTTTATAGGATTCCTGACTAAGCCCTTGGCAGGCATATTGATGAAAAATGTATGTTATTGAAAAATCTCTTTCAAACATTTTAATACTGAGTATATCATAGTATGTATTATGATAGAGATAACATCATATAATGCAGCTCAGGATTTTATCCAATACACAACCGTTCACTAATAGTTACAAACATGCCTTCAAATAATGATGCTGTAATAAGTATGTCTCTCTGTGAATCATCCTGTGAAGATCCAGGTTAGAACTGGTCTTCAGCAACCTTACGCTAACATATGAAACGATTAACAAGTTCAGATGACTAGGTTGGCACATGTCATCACATTCCAATTGCACTGATGATGTCAATCACTTGATTGTCTGGACCAAACTCGTAAGTTCAGCGTTAATCAAAAAGGAAACATTTTGTAAACCCCAAACATACATTTTAGGAATTTCATATAGATTTTGTCTTCAGAAACCCATGTTTGTCGTGAGAGGTGACTAATGGGATAATACAAACCAATAATAGCGATTTGAATCTATGATCGTTTGTTAAACAACTTTTATCTTAAGTGGAATACAATGTTGAGATTTAAAAGTTCATTTGGCAAGGTAAAATCATGAGGATTCGCAATCTTAATTTCACTTAATTTGATTTACTTTTTTGTTTAAAGTGAAATTCATTGGTACGTTTTCACTGCAAACAGACTATAATTGCATACATCAATGCTCATGCTGTTGATCACTGGATTTCTGGTCCAGACTCAATTATTTACAGACTGCCACTGTATAGCTGGACTATTTCTGAGTGTGGCATTGAACAACAAGCAAACAAACAAAGAGTCTAAAGTCAAACAAACAGTCTAAAGTCAAACAAACAAACAGTCTAAAGTAAAACAAACAAACAGTCTAAAGTCAAACAAACAAACAGTGTAAAGTCAAACAAACAGTCCAAAGTCAAACAAACAGTCTAAAGTCAAACAAACAAACAGTCTAAAGTCAAACAAACAAACAGTCTAAAGTCAAACAAACAGTCTAAAGTCAAACAAACAAACAGTCTAAAGTCAAACAAACAGTGTAAAGTCAAACAAACAAACAGTGTAAAGTCAAACAAACAGTCTAAATTCAAACAAACAAACAGTCTAAAGTCAAACAAACAGTCTAAAGTCAAACAAACAGTCTTAAGTCAAACAAACAAACAGTCAAGTCAAACAAACAGTCTAAAGTCAAACAAACAAACAGTCTAAAGTCAAACAAACAGTCTAAAGTCAAACAAACAAACAGTCTAAAGTCAAACAAACAGTCTAAATTCAAACAAACAAACAGTCTAAAGTCAAACAAACAAACAGTCTAAAGTGAGCCTTTATTGTTTCACAGGCAGGTTGGAAGGAGAGCCATGCTACGTTCGTATCAGAGTTGAAGAATCTGAAGGCTGGAGACTTGTCTACTCTAGGTCCAGCCTTGAAGAATGCGTTTGACCTGCTCAACATCAACCGAATGCAGTCAGGGATTGATACATATGGACAGGTACGTAACCTACTTCATATCAAGGCTTCTTAATGTGTAGATGGGCAAAGGTCACCCACTTTCCACTTGGTTAATGGCAGCCAACTCAATGGGGAATACACAATGACATTTAGAAAGTGGTCAAATGTGGTATGTTATATTTGGAATTACATTTTCTCAGTGAAGTACAGATTCTAATATTTCTACAGATTGAGTCCCATCTGGGATTTGAACCCACACACTCAGAGTAAGACATAATCGCCAGCACACAGAGTTGGTGATCTAACCCACTCAGCCACCAAGCTTTGAAAAAATGGAAGTTTGACAACTGGTAGTCTAATCATGTACTTTGTGTACCTCTGACAAGTGTAAATTGGCCCTGCTCCCATGGCGGAAAGCTGCATACACAATGCTGTTTAGAAAGTGGTTAAGTGTAACATCTGTTATATAATTGGGATTACATTTTCACAGTATTTTATCAAGAGTTGTAGACACCTTGGAGATTTATTGGACCTAGTGTTTAAACTTTGTGTGAATACTGTGTATCATCAGTGCAGAAACTTGCAGAAACTCTTTGGGGTAGTTATTAGACAGTTTTTTAACTGGCTGACTTTTTATACTGACTACAGAGCTAGGTTTTCTCAAGCGCATTATTTTTTTATCCCCCGCAACAACGAAGTTGCGGGGGATATAGAAACGAGTTCCATCCGTCCGTGTGTGCGTCCGTCACACTTTGTCCGAAGTATATCTCCTAAACTATTCGTGATAGCTTAACCCAACTTGGTACACATGTTAACCATGATCCCTAGATGTGCCTTTTGGGGGTTAGACCAAGATGTGAATTTTATTTTTTGCGGTTTCCATGGAAACCTGACATAAGCTATTACTATGAGGATGTCATCTTGTCTGGAGCAGATCTTCCAAACTGTACATGCTAGCTTCATCAAACTTGGTACACATATCAAGCATGATCCCTAGATGTGTTAGACCCAGATATGAATTTTATTTTTATCCCCCGCAACGCGTTTTTCGGGGGGTATTAAAATGGACTCCGTCCCTCCGTCCGTCTGTCCGTCCGTCCGTCCGTGCACATTTGTCTTTTCCGGAGCAGAACTCTAAAACGGTTCTCTATTTCATCACCAAACTTGGCACATAGATAGATCTGGTGGTGTACTTGTGCCTTTTGATAGTTTTGGAATTCTGAATAAAATACTTTTGGCATTTCCATGGCAACAAGTTCGACTGAGACTGAAATTGGTGGTTGTGCTCTTTTCCGGAGCAAAACTCTAAAACTGTTCAATATTTCTTCACCAAACTTGGCACATAGATAGATCTGGTGGTGTAGTGGTGCCTTTTGGTTGTTTTGGAATTCTGAATAAAATATTTTTGGCATTTCCATGGCAACAAGTTTCACTTAGCCTGGAATTGGTGGTACGTGCAAATTTGTCTTTTCCGGAGCAGATCTCTAAAACCGTTCAATATTTCTTCACCAAACTTGGCACATACATGGATCTGGTGGTGTACTTGTGCCTTTTGGTAGTTTTGGAATTCTGAATAAAATATTTTTGGCGTTTCCATGCCAACAAGTTTGACTTAGACTGAAATTGGTGGTTGTGCTCTTTTCCGTAGCAGAACTCTAAAACCATTCACTATTTCTTCACCAAACTTGGCACATAGATAGATCTGGTGGTGTACTGGTGCCTTTTTGTAGTTTTGGAATTCTGAATAAAATATTTTTGGCATTTCCATGCCAACAAGTTTGACATAGAATGAAATTGGTGACAGTGCTCCTTTCTGGAGCAGAACTTTCAAAACCTTTCAATACTCTCCTTCCACTTTTCTATATACACACATAAATATTTGACATAATCATAACTCGTAGACATAATCATGAAGAGTATTTTGCCATTGCGGGGGATATTGATGACTTTGTCTTCTTGTTTGCTGTTTTCATGGAAACGTGACTAAGGCTGTGACTAGGATGTCATCTTGTTGCATTTCCATGGCAACAAGTTCGGCTTCAACTGAATTTGGTAGTAGGGCTCCTTTCTGGAGCAGATCTTAAAATCCTTTCAATACTCTCCTTCCACTTTGCTGTATACACTCCAAAACATTTGACATAATCATAACTAGTAGACATATTCATGAAGATTATTTTGCCGTTGCGGGGGATATTGATGACTTTGTCTTCTTGTTTAAGCTGAGATCCCTGTCTGCTGTTTCACTTCTATATTCCATCTGTGGTTATATTTTGATTTGTTCTGTGAGTGGTACAAGTGTGTGATGGCGAACAATGTGTGTTGCAGGGTCGGAGTCCATTCTTCTTGGAGCCAGCTGTGATAATCGTGATTACTGATGGAGGCTACCTCACAACCATGAACGGCGTGCAAGCTGAGGTAAAGTCCTTCAGTAGTTGAACGTTAGTGGTTTCACCATGAACAGGTTCTTCTGGGAAATTGATGGTGGAGAGTACGAATCGGTCACAAGGGAGATAATTTGGTGTTTAGGACAGGACTATGTGTCTTTATTCATTGATGTTTTATTTTATGACAGGACTTTAATTTTTTTCAATGCTTCTTCATTTTAGGATGCTACAATATTTGATATTTAATGGTGCTTCACTTAAACACAGGACTTTGTGTTGTTATTCAGTTGTGCTTCACGTAAGAGGCAATTAACGGGATCGGGTGGTCAGGCTTTCTGACTGGGTTGACACATGTCATCTTCACCCAATTGTGTAGATTGATGTTCATGCTGTTGATCCCTGGATTGTCTGGTCCAGACTCGATTATTTACACACCGCCGCCATATAGCTGGAATATTGCTGAGTGCAGCGTAAAACTAAACTCACTCACTCAATTGTGCTTCAGTTAATGAAAGGCCTATATTTGTGAAACAGTGATGCTCAGTTCTAAGACAAGACTGTATTTGTTCTTCCAGTTGAACCTGCCAATGAATAACAATGTCCCTGGCACAGAGTTGACAAAGGAACCGTTTCGGTGGGACCAAAGAATATTCAGCATCGTTCTGAGAATGCCTGGTAGTGTGCCTCCAGAAAATGCCTTCCCATTTATCCTGCCTGCCGAATCCCACCCGATAGACGCCATGTGTGATGTAACAGGAGGTGAGCTGCAGCATCATTTATTCGGATAAAAGTTGGGGTGGTGGGGTAGCCCAGTGGATAAAGCATTCGCTCGTTACATCACAGACCTGGGTTCGATTTCCCACATCGGTACTACGTGTGAAGCCCATTTCTGATGATTATTCGGCCTGAGGTGTTGAATGGGTTAATGTTGCTAAAAGCAACGTAAAACCTAGCACACTCGTTATATGGTATATTTGGAGGTCAGTTTCAATTTTTGTGCAGTCCTTGACAAATACTCTATACTTGACTGATTGTGATGGATTTTTGCTCACAATATCCATCACTGGTTTGTCTGGTCCAGACTTGATTATTTCTGCGTTCACATATTTGGAATAAGTTGACTGTGATGTTTAACAACAGACTATCAATATGTCTATGTTGGCGTGTTTCAGGTCGGTCTTACGCTGTCTTCACTCAGAAGATGTTGAATGGAGCTTTAGAATCTCTGGTGCAGAAAGTTCAAAGTGGAGTAGTGATAAACTTTGAAAAAATTGGAAACGATCCACCACCTTTAATTAATGAAGGTAGGTCACACCTGCACCATGTAAATACCGAGATATAAACAGTGAAGTGATGACTTTTAGATGCAGCGCTTGACCCATGGTTTACTTGATCATCAGACGTCTCTTCACAAGTAGTGAAAGATACAGGGTACTTGCGTCCTTGAAATTTGCTGTGTCAGTTATATCTCATTAGTTAGATCCAAAATTTTAGCTGGATTTAATCTTGACTTGCCCAAATGTTAATGTTCAAGTAAATATTCCCAATTTGAATTAAACATTTCATTGTATAATGTAAAAAACTTGTCATGTTTTTTTTCAAGTTTGCCTGCCGAAAGTGTTTGGTATCATAGATAAATCGACGAGTTAGGCACCCTGCCATTCCAACTATTATACTGCTGAAATATTGCAAACAGCATAAAACAAAACTCATTCACTTCATTAAGATCATAATGGTTACTTAAAAGGGAAAGGTCAGCATAAGCCCTGATGTACATACCGGTACATAGCTATCTGCTTCCTAGATTTCACCCGCCAGATGGTGTGAAAAGATACTCCAAAACACTGTGTACCTCATATCACAGAAATTAACTTATTTCCCCCTTTTTGTGCATTACTCCTAAATGTCTTTCAAAGTTAAAAGTGTCTGGTTGGTGTAGACTCCAGGTGAGGAGTGATCTTCAGCAATCTAGGTAGTGAAAGGATGTGTAATCCATGTTTTATGACAGTGTTTAAAAGTCAGCATGCAAGTTGATTGGTTCATGTCATATCGCTAATGTTACAACTTACAGATTTGGGGGTTGCCTCCATTCAACAGATAACCTTATGGACCCCTTACCTCAGACACAGCTGAGATATCTCACTTAAATGTAATTCTTTTCAGGTGTTAAAGCAGATGGCAGCTCAGAACTAAATGGAACTCTTAAAGGTATTCTCAAAATGCTTTTTTCTTCAATGTAATTAAGAGCATACAAATGTCATGTGAAGTCTATGGCCTTACATTCACTTCTTTAAAAATTGTCCTTACCCTGGTGTGGTCTCTAATTTTCAAACTGCAGGCAGAATTTACTTATTGGCCCCCGCCGTAATGTGGAATGGGGGACTATGTATTCAGCGGCGTCTGTCCATCCCGATTCTTGTTAACGCGATATCTCATGGACTGTTGTACCCAATGTCTTCAAATTTGGTGACAGCCTACATTGGGGGATTATGCAGACACCAGTCGATTTGGGTGACCTTGACCTTATCTTCAAGGTCAGCACGACACTTTGACCACTATTCAAACTTATTTTAACGCAATATCTCATAAAACATTGCACCCAATGTTTTCAATTATGTTGACAGCCTATATTGGGTGATTATGAAGATACCAGTCATTTCGGGCATCTTGTATGTGACCAAAAAATAAAAAGTAGTAAATATAGATATTCCATTCTTTAGCAGGGGACACATTGCCATATCAGTGGCAAACACTTGTTATATTAGTTATTTCCGTGATTGGTGAACAAAACTTAAAGACATTTAGAATTAAGGATGAAAATTGAATTTAAGCTTTTCACTTTAGCATTATTTAATTCATATCTTTGAACTTATGCACATCATTCCTAGAACTGTATTATCAGTGCCTTTTATGACTGTGCCAATTTGCACTTTAATAAATAGAACGCCCAAACAAGAAAGACAACTCCAGTTCAGTTTCTCTCATTTCTGCCAAGAAGGACTGTGGTTATAGGCATCAACAATCTGACATGTTGAATATTCTTTATGTGGACTGTACTCTCTCACACAAAGAATATTTCTTAATTTAACCAATAAAGCCAGAGAGTGAAAGTGAGAATGGTCAATTTGTCTGTAGTACCAGAACTGTGTCATTGTCTTCCAGGCCCGGCGCTGACTGAGAACCAAGATGCCAACAAGATCATCTCTGACCGTGAGAATGGAAATGAAGATAAGAAACAGGTGAACTTGCAGCAGTCTCAGCTGAATGCCGCGTGGCACAACTGCCGCAAGCTCATCTACGTCCCACGATCAGCTCAGAAGGGGTACTCTGTCGGCCACTGGCCGATCCCTGAGGCATACTGGCCAGACGTCAGTAGTCCACAGTTGGTGAGTTTGCAGCTTGTTTCAATATGGGTTAGGGGCAGTGGGATAGCCTAGTGGTTAAAACGTTTAGTTGTCATGCAGAAAACCTGGGTTCGATATCCCACGGTTCAATGTGTGGAGCCCATTTCTGGTGTCCCCCGTCAAGATGTGGCTGGAATGTTGCTTAAACTTAAAACCAAATTCAATTTTCACTGGGTTAGACCAATCTTTAAATTCTCATAGTCTACTAATCCAAGGCTACGAGTTTGTGCTGAAGACAGTTAAGAATTAGGTAGTAGTTGTTGTCAGTGACTAGTAGCTCTGAGGACTATTATTCATTACAGTCAGGCCGCATTAGTCCGGACCCAGATAATCCGATTCCTGCAATATCTGAACGGTAGCTAGCTGTAACCAATCTTGTTTACTATGTAAACTCATTAACTGTTGATTCATTAATCCGGTGCTTCACTCTCCGGTTCCCGGACGTTAATTAGCGGTAACGGATTAGCTAATTACACTTGGTTTTGCTTCATTAATCCAGGGTACATCAAAAAGGTTCTGATAATTCCCTTACCGAATGAGCACCATTGATTAGCGCTGATCTTCATCGGTAAACTTAAATGGTAATTGATAAGTGAGGTGACGCATGTCGTTAGTTTGTGATTGTAATTAACACAACTGGCACCATTAAAATTAAACTGTTTGTCATCGCAAACTCCAGACATAGAAGTAACTCTACTGTTGTGGTGTACACAATGGTTTGTTTCAGTAGTCCGTACGTTTCACTATCCGAACGTTTTTGATGAAAAACGGAAGTGTTTGGATTAACGCAGCCTGTCTTGTACCATGTTGCACACAGCGTTCTTACCGCACTCTCATACATATACATTTGTGACATTAATGTAATGCATCTCCCCAGCAGACTACTGTTTCCAGTTTGGCTGATTACTGAATGGGTAGAAATTGTGCTGCCTTATTGAACTTTTGCAGTCTAAGTATTTTATGAGTTAATGATTAAATACCCTCTCTGTTAACATGTTTATTTATACGTATTGACATCAATATGTATTTGCTTTTATGGAAATAGTAACTTAAAAAATGCCGTGCACGTGTTAAGTGAATCTGTTTCATGGATATGAACTTTGTTTATTAATATTTTAATGTTATATGTCCATAACACATATATATTCAAGTCAATTCATATTTGACACAATGTATGAATGTGTATGTTTTGTCTCCACAGCCTCCCCGGTCAGCCCATCCCGTGTTACGCTTCTCCTGCTCGCCGTGTGATCCCATGGTCATTGAAAACCTCCCCTTTGACAAGTATGAGCTGGAACCATCACCTCTCACTCAGTACATCCTGGAGAGACGGCAGCCAAACTCCTGCTGGCAGGTCAGTCAACCCGATCGTTCTCACCGGTCAGTCAACCCGATCGTTCTCTCCGGTCATTCAACCTGGTCAGTCTCCCTGCTTGATCAACCTGGTCAGTCTGCCTGTTTGATCAACCTGGTCAGTCTCCCTGTTTGATCAACCTGGTCAGTCTCCCTGTTTGATGAACCTGGTCAGTCTGCCTGGTTGATGAACCTGGTCAGTCTCCCTGTTTGATCAACCTGGTCAGCTCCCTGTTTGATCAACCTGGTCAGCTCCCTGTTTGATCAACCTGGTCAGTCTCCCAGTTTGATCAACCTGGTCAACTCCCTGATTGATCTACCTGGTCAGTCTTCTTGTTTGATCAACCTGGTCAGTCTCCCTGCTTGATCAACCTGGTCAGTCTCCCTGATTGATCAACCTGGTCAGTCTTCCTGATTGATCAACCAGGTCAGTCTCCCTGCTTGATCAACCTGGTCAGTCTCCCTGATTGATCAACCTGGTCAGTCTGCCTGTTTGATCAACCTGGTCAGTCTCCCTGTTTGATGAACCTGGTCAGTTTCCCTGATTGATCAACCTGGTCAGTCTCCCTGATTGATCAACCTGGTCAGTCTCCCTGATTGATCAACCTGGTCATTTTCCCTGTTTGATCAACCTGGCCATTCTCCCTGTTTGATCAACCTGGTCAGTCTTCCTGGTTGATCAACCTGGTCAGCTCCCTGTTTGATCAACCTGGTCAGTCTCCCTGATTGATCAACATGGTCATTTTCCCTGTTTGATCAACCTGGCCATTCTCCCTGTTTGATCAACCTGGTCAGTCTCCCTGATTGATCAACCTGGTCAGTCTTCCTGGTTGATCAACCTGGTCAGTCTTCCTGATTGATCAACCTGGTCAGTCTCCCTGTTCGATCAACCTGGTCAGTCTCCCTGATTGATCAACTTGGTCAGTCTCCCTGTTCGATCAACCTGGTCAGTCTCCCTGATTGATAAACCTGGTCAGTCTGCCTGTTTGATCAACCTGGTCAGTCTCCCTGTTTGATCAACCTGGTCAGTCTGCCTGGTTGATGAACCTGGTCAGTCTCCCTGTTTGATCAACCTGGTCAGCTCCCTGTTTGATCAACCTGGTCAGCTCCCTGTTTGATCAACCTGGTCAGTCTCCCAGTTTGATCAACCTGGTCAACTCCCTGATTGATCTACCTGGTCAGTCTGCCGTTTGATCAACCTGGTCAGTCTCCCTGATTGATAAACCTGGTCAGTCTCCCTGCTTGATCAACCTGGTCAGTCTCCCTGATTGATCAACCTGGTCAGTCTTCCTGATTGATCAACCTGGTCAGTCTCCCTGCTTGATCAACCTGGTCAGTTTCCCTGATTGATCAACCTGGTCAGTCTCCCTGATTGATCAACCTGGTCAGTCTCCCTGATTGATCAACATGGTCATTTTCCCTGTTTGATCAACCTGGCCATTCTCCCTGTTTGATCAACCTGGTCAGTCTTCCTGGTTGATCAACCTGGTCAGCTCCCTGTTTGATCAACCTGGTCAGTCTCCCTGATTGATCAACATGGTCATTTTCCCTGTTTGATCAACCTGGCCATTCTCCCTGTTTGATCAACCTGGTCAGTCTTCCTGGTTGATGAACCATGCTGTCTTCTTGTTTGATCAACCTGGCTGATCAACCCGGTTGTTTCTCTGGTTTGACAACCTGGTCAATCTTCCTAGTTGGGTAATCTCTGTCATCTCTGTCACCCTGGTCCATCTCCATAAACAGTCACCCAGTCTGGTCTCTGTAACCATTAGCCCTTGTTGGTCACCGAAGTCACCAGTCATAGTATTTTGAGATTTGGTCGGTGGGGTAGCCTTGTGGCTAAAGTGTTCGCTCTTCATGCCGAAGACCTGGGTTCAATTCCCCACATGAGTACAGTGAGTGAAGACCATTTCTTGGGTCCCCGTCGTGATATTGCTCGAATATTGCTACAAGCGATGTAAACCCAAACTCAGTCAGTCAGCTTATGAGACTTTCTTATTAGAAATCTCTGCTAAAAGTAGAGCTCATTGTACAATTGGACCAAATCCTAAACTAGTATTTATGAAGTACTTTTAAATAATATCAATTAATTGTTTGTTGTTTGTTTCAGGTGTTTATCGGTAACAGTGCTAAGTACAGCGATATCTGTCATCCGTTCGGCTACCTGAAGGCCAGTAGTGTCCTGAGCTGTGTCAATCTGTTCGTCATGCCATACAACTACCCCATCTTGCTGCCTCTACTGGGTCAGTTCACACTCTCAGCTGCTTGTTTGCAGTTTATCTTTACATTATTTTGCAGTGGATGGTTTGTACTTGTCTCCGTGAAAATCATTTTGTCTCTTAATTCTTATGCAGGAATTGAAAGAGCACTTCAGTTGCCTGCCATGGCATGGTAAATATTCAAATTAAATTTAATACACAACATTTAATGGACAATGTGATAAATTTTACCAACTGAAATGATTCAAAACCTATATTTGCACCCATCAAACTGTTTATTGGTGGCACTCTCAATCTCACAGCTTAACATGGGCGTGGCCATTTTCAATGCCAGTGCACAGAACAGGAAATCCTGTTTTCAGTGATAACAGTTTGTGGGTGTATTTATGAATCCATGACAAATGTAGCAGTCTTGGTAGTGTTCAGGAAACCCTGCTCTCAAGACCCGTGAAGATCCGGGTCAGAATTGATCTTCAGTAACCCAAGCTTGTCGTAAGAAGTGACTAATGAAATGGATGGTCAGACTTGCAGACTTGGCTGACATGCCATCGATGATCATGCGGTTGATCACTGGATTTTCTGGTCCAGTTTCGATTATTTACATAGCTGGAATATTGCTGAGTGTGGCGTAAAACTAAACTCACTCACTCTTGCTGTTAACTCAGTGTTTTAGTGATAAACATTTTGTGTTTGTTTTCTGAAAATTTACAAAATAGTGCTTTCCAGATATGTTTTCACTTTGTTATTTCAGATATTTGTGCTGCGCCTATGTTACTGGTGTTAGACAGAATTGTTCATACTTCAATAGTTGTGTGTTTTCATCAACAGAGGAGCTGTTTAAAGTCCACAAGTTAAAACCAACACCCAAATGGAGGCAACAGTTTGAGAACTACCTCAAGACTATGCCCGGTTACTATGCAGGGGTGAGTGTTACTGACTTGTACTTGCTCTGTGCTGTATGCAGAGCCAATGTTTGTTTTACGTAATGCCAGATCAGTGTCTGTTTTACTCTGTCATGGCTGTGTCTAGAAGAGGAACACTTTTTATGGATAGACATCTTCATTATTGCAATAGATTTGAAGTTTCGCTGTAGAGGCTAACACTGTTGCATCAGTTGCACTAAGGAAGTTGTCTGTCCATCAGAAGTGCTTCTCTTCGTCATATCAACTTCTGAATGCCTCTTAAAGAAGTCAAGGATATGTCTGCTTGTTTTAGTCTCACATGGCTGAGTGTGTCTGTTATGCTTCATCATGGCTGAGAGTGTGTTTTACTTCATCATGGCTGAGTGTCTGTTTTGATTTGTCATGGTTGAGCCTCTGTTTTACTTCATGATGGTTGAGTGTCTGTTTTACTTAATCATGGTTGAGTGTCTATTTTGCTTTATCATGGCTGATAGTCTGTTTTACTTCATGATGGTTGAGTGTCTGTTTTACTCTATCATGACTGAGAGTCTGTATTGCTTCGTCATGACTGAGAGTCTGTTTTACTTCATCATGGCTATTTGTGTTTAACTTTATCATGGCTGAGTGTCTGTTTAACTTTATCAGGGCTATTTCTGTTTTACTTTATCATGTGTATTTTTGTTTTACTTTATCATGGGTATTTTTGTTTCACTTTGTCATGGGTATTTCTGTTTAACTTTATCATGGCTGAGTGTCTGTTTAACTTTACCATGGCTATTTGTCCCCGGCCGCAATGCGGAACGGGGGACTATGTATTCAGCGGCGTCCGTATGTACGTCCCGATTCTTGTTAACGCGATATCTCATGAACTGTTGTACCCAATGTCTTCAAATTTGGTGACAGCCTACATTGGGTGATTACGCAGACACCAGTTGATTTGGGTGACCTTGACCTTATTTTCAAGGTCACCACGGCACTTTGACCACTTTTCATACTCTTGTTAACGTGATATCTCATGGACTGTTGTACCCAATGTCTTCAAGTTCGGTGACAGCCTACATTGGGGGATTACGCAGACACCACTTTATTTGGGTGAACTTTATCTTATCTTCAAGGTCACCATGACACTATGACCGCATTTCAAACTTATTTAAACGTGATATCTCATAAAACATTGCACCCAATGTTTTCAAGTATGTTGACAGCCTACATTGGGTGATTATGCAGACACCAGTCATTTCAGGCATCTTGAATGTGACCAAAAAATAAAAAGTAGTAAATATAGATATTCTATTCTTTAGCAGCGGGGGACATTGCCATATCAGTGGCAAACACTTGTTGTGTTTTACTTTATCATGGCTGAGTGTCTGTTTAACTTTATCATGGCTATTTCTGTGTAACTTTATCATGGCTATTTCTGTTTTACTTTATCATGGCTGTGTTTTACTTTATCATGGCTATTAACTTTATCATGGCTATTTCTGTTTAACTTTATCATGGCTGAGTGTCTGTCTAACTTTATCATGGCTATTTCTGTTTTACTTTATCATGGCTGTGTTTTACTTTATCATGGCTATTAACTTTATCATGGCTATTTCTGTTTAACTTTATCATGGCTGAGTGTCTGTCTAACTTTATCATGGCTATTTCTGTGTAACTTTATCATGGCTATTTCTGTTTTACTTTATCATGGCTGTGTTTTACTTTATCATGGCTATTAACTTTATCATGGCTATTTCTGTTTTACTTTATCATGGCTGTGTTTTACTTTATCATGGCTATTAACTTTATCATGGCTATTTCTGTTTAACTTTATCATGGCTGAGTGTCTGTGTAACTTTATCATGGCTATTTCTGTTTTACTTTATCATGGCTGTGTTTTACTTTATCATGGCTATTAACTTTATCATGGCTATTTCTGTTTTACTTTATCATGGCTGTGTTTTACTTTATCATGGCTATTAACTTTATCATGGCTATTTCTGTTTTACTTTATCATGGCTGTGTTTTACTTTATCATGGCTATTAACTTTATCATGGCTATTTCTGTTTAACTTTATCATGGCTGAGTGTCTGTGTAACTTTATCATGGCTATTTCTGTTTAACTTTATCATGGCTGAGTGTCTGTGTAACTTTATCATGGCTGAGTGTCTGTGTAACTTTATCATGGTTATTTCTGTCTAACTTTATCATGGCTGAGTGTCTGTTTAACTTTATCATGGCTGAGTGTCTGTTTTACTTTATCATGGCTGAGTGTCTGTCTAACTTTATCATGGCTGAGTGTCTGTGTAACTTTATCATGGCTATTTCTGTTTAACTTTATCATGGCTGAGTGTCTGTGTAACTTTATCATGGCTGAGTGTCTGTGTAACTTTATCATGGTTATTTCTGTCTAACTTTATCATGGCTGAGTGTCTGTTTAACTTTATCATGGCTGAGTGTCTGTTTTACTTTATCATGGCTGAGTGTCTGTCTAACTTTATCATGGCTGAGTGTCTGTCTAACTTTATCATGGCTGAGTGTCTGTGTAACTTTATCATGGCTGAGTGTCTGTGTAACTTTATCATGGCTGAGTGTCTGTTTAACTTTATCATGGCTATTTCTGTTTTCTGAGGACAAAAAGCCGTAAAACAAGAAATAAAATTGGTCTGACCTAAAGTAAAACGAAAATGACCATGATAGCGTCAAACAGACTGACAGTCGGCCATGATTGAATGATTGTAAGCAAGTGTTTGAGTGTCTGGTTGTTTTCTTTGCTGTCTAAGTGTCTTTTTTCGATTCTGTCCTGACTGAATCACAGCGTAACTACTCTAGAGTGTAACTGATGTATGTTCTCCTCTGTAGCCGTTGCGACGGGCGATGGCCAGAATGGGTGCAGCGAACCTCGTCCCTGACAACATGGACAACTGCCTCAGCTACAGTGTCATCACCTACCTCAAGAAACTTAAAAACCAGGTACATCTCACACAACTTGTACATTTCTGACAAATAAAAATCACAATCACATTGTCAAACAGAGACCTTGTAAACAGCCTAAAAGCTAGAAATATTAAGAAGAATAAAAAAACATCACCTGCTTTGACATGGGAGATCCGGATTAGAATTGGTCTTCAGCAGCCCATGCTTGTCAATAGAGGCGACTGACAGGATCGGGTGGTCCGACTCGCAGACATGGTTGACTCATTGTATCCCAGTTGTGTAGATTGATGTTCATGCTGTTGATCACTGGATTGGCTGGTCCATACTGGAATATTTACAGACCGCCGCCATTTAACTGGAATATTGCAGAGTGCAGCATTAAACAACAAACTAACAAACAAAAGAAATCCATCAGTGTCTGCCTTGTAGGATGAGTGGTCGTGAGACCTGGCACCTCACAGGGTGATTTGGTTGTATACTTCAAAGGGAGCTGAGAATGAATATCAAATTAACCCTAATCCATTGACTGGGTAATATAGCACTTTCTGCATGCTTTAGGTTTCAGTTTTGGCTCATTATAAACATACACATTGTTATTATGCTTGGATGTCTTTTCTCCGAACAGGCCAAGATAGAAATGGACCGACTGATTGCGTCAGTGGGACAGAAGCCACAACACAATGAAGGAATCAAAGTCTGCTCGAGGTGATGTGTTTACCGCAAGAAGTGTTCACGAAACAAATATCCAAACCATATTAACTGAGTCTGATGGTGCGCATTTTATAGCACTATGAGCATACCTTCTGCATTTTAGTGCATTACAAATTGACTCATTATTATTATTAATTGTGGAGAAGTAAGAAAGGAAACTGAATATTTTGTCAAGCTCAGATGATTATATGTAGGATTACAAACCTTTCTTGACAATCAGCTTGAAAACTTTAGTTTAAAATTTGAATTGTAAAACAAATAATATTTTCTTTATCTTTGACTTATGTCCCTTGGATGTTGGAGGATCCGCTTATTGTGTGGTTGCATGACCCATGGTTTGTCAGCATGATATAGATCTTGAGCTCACCTCCCAAATTAAGCTGATGTGCCTAAATATAACTGTAATACTGTTGACAGCAACATTAAACCAAACTAACGAACTCTCTCATGGGTGGAGTTGTAAAACATAGCTTTTGGAGATTGAGAGCTGAGAAAGTTTTCCCAGAAATAAAAGCCTAAAAAGTAAAAGTTTCTGCTGAGATTGAGATGACATTGGGTCATGTTGATGCTACTGTTACAGGAGTCAGACGTCAGTGCTACAAAGGAAAGACTTCAACCAGTTGATGCAGAACCTGGGTGGCAACATGGCCTGGCTGAAACAGGACCTGCAGGAATACACCACATTCAGCATCGCCGTACCCGACCGGGGCATCAAACCGCAGTACTATAGGTGAGTGGTAACTATAGCAACCTGGCTGAAACAAGACCTGCAGGAATACACCACATTCAGCATTGCCGTGCCCGACTGGGGCATCAAACCTCAGTACTATAGGTGAGTGGTAACTATAGCAACCTGGCTGAAACAAGACCTGCAGGAATACACCACATTCAGCATTGCCGTGCCCGACTGGGGCATCAAACCTCAGTACTATAGGTGAGTGGTAACTATAGCAACCTGGCTGAAACAAGACTTGCAGGAATACACCACATTCAGCATCGCCGTGCCCGACCGGGGCATCAAACCTCAGCACTATAGGTGAGTGGTAACTATAGCAACCTGGGTGAAACGGGACCTGCAGGAATACACCACATTCAGCATCGCCGTGCCCGACCGGGCATCAAACCTCAGTACTATAGGTGAGTGGTAACTATAGCAACCTGGCTGAAACAAGACCTGCAGGAATACACCACATTCAGCATCGCCGTGCCCGACCGGGGCATCAAACCTCAGTACTATAGGTGAGTGGTAACTATAGCAACCTGGCTGAAACAGGACCTGCAGGAATACACCACATTCAGCATCGCCGTGCCCGACCGGGGCATCAAACCTCAGTACTATAGGTGAGTGGTAACTATAGCAACCTGGCTGAAACAAGACCTGCAGGAATACACCACATTCAGCATCGCCGTGCCCGACCGGGGCATCAAACCTCAGTACTATAGGTGAGTGGTAACTATAGCAACCTGGCTGAAACAAGACCTGCAGGAATACACCACATTCAGCATCGCCGTATTACGACCGGGGCATCAAACCGCCAGTACTATGGGTGAGTGGTAACTATAGCAACCTGGCTGAAACAAGACCTGCAGGAATACACCACATTCAGCATCGCCGTTCCCGACCGGGGCATCAAACCTCAGTACTATAGGTGAGTGGTAACTATAGCAACCTGGCTGAAACAAGACCTGCAGGAATACACCACATTCAGCATCGCCGTGCCCGACCGGGGCATCAAACCTCAGTACTATAGGTGAGTGGTAACTATAGCAACCTGGCTGAAACAAGACCTGCAGGAATACACCACATTCAGCATTGCCGTGCCCGACTGGGGCATCAAACCTCAGTACTATAGGTGAGTGGTAACTATAGCAACCTGGTTGATCAGGCCTCGTAGTTGCTGGGTGCGATTTCCACACATAAGCGCAATGTTGGAAGCACATTGTTCATGCCCTCCTATCATGATATGCATGGAATATTCCTGAGAGCTGTCGCAACATTACATGATACCTCACCTCACTGCCTCGACCACCTCACCTCAATCAATACCTCGCTCTCATCACTTTACCTCACTACCTCAACCACCTCACCTCCACTCAAAACCTCACCCACTTCTATCACCCCACTCACGCAGAGCTCACACATTTAACATTCTCAAAAGCCCTGCAGTCATATAAACAAAAAAAATTAATAACCTCCAGATTGTAAAAAAGTTTGTATTTTGTGTTTCAGGAACCCATATGATGTTCCAAGGAAAAGTCTGCTTGACCAGGTGACGCGGATGAGAACAAATTTCCTTCAGTCTTCCTACATCAACACAAAACTCTGTGATGAAGGTGAGTTGTCCCACACAAACACACATCGTTCATATTGTTAAAATACAGTCACCTCAAAATTTGCATCTCTTTGCCCTTTTGTCAAGAAATGGGTACCTGGAAGGATGTTATGGTAACGTGAAACAAATTCTTGTACCTGAGCAGAGAATTTAATGAAAATCCACTGATTTGTTGACGAGAGATTTATCATTAAACATTTGTGAATGAAGATGATGATGATGATGATGGATAGCATTTATATAGCGCTAATCTCGGAAAGGGCTCTTTGCGCATTTCTCTTACAAAAATGGGACTGAAAAGTACACATTAAAGGAAAGCTTGTTTAAATATGAATGTTTTTAAACCGATCTTGAATGAACTTAGAGAAGGGGAATTGCAGAGTTCATTTGGGAGAGCATTCCAAACTGAGGGCGCACTGTATTTGAAAGAGCGCTGTCCTGCTGACTTTAAGTTGAACTTTGGGATTTTTAACAGTTTCTCACTGGAAGAGCGGAGAGTTCGTGGAGCCTTGTAAGTAGAGAGCTCTCTGGACAGGTATGGTGGTAGTGAACCATCAACATGGCGAAACACAAGTGTTGCAATCTTGTATTTGCACCAGAGCGTGATAGGCAGCCAATGTAGATGCTGCAGCATGGGAGTCACATGATTGTACTTCCGTCTCTTCATCACAAGACGAGCTGCACCATGCTGTACTAACTTGAGACGAGTGATCTCGTCAAGAGGGAGACCAAAGAACACTGAATTGCAGTAGTCCAGCCTTGAGTGATAAAGCAACTTACAAGACTGCTTTTCTTGGATGAAATCATTAGTATTGCTAATAGCCTGTCGTTTCTGCTTCAGACAATCTGCACAGTGTGCCAGTGGGCCAGATGGGAAACTATCAGGAGTATCTCAAGAAACAGCCTCCCGCCCTTCGAGAGTTGGAGAGTTCGCCAGTCAGATTACACATGTTTGGAAATCCATTTAAAGTCAATAAATCAGTGAGTTTCAACTGCTGGTATTAACCTTTATGTATTATGTATTTTGAGATTTGTTAATCCATTTGTTAAAAAACAACAACGCGTGTTTGTTATAGACGTATTATACTGTATGTTATGTAGAACAATGCTAATGATGTCAATAAATGGACTGCCATCATATACCCGGAATATTGCTGAATTCAACCTTGAAAACAAGTAAGCAAAACCTTTTCATTTGTTCTTTCAGAACCAGAACACTTTCATGGTGGATGAAGCAGAAGAAGCTATGTTCGGAACACAGACACGAAACAAGCGGTCATCAGAAAGTCCACCTCCGTCACCCGGGCCCAAGAAGAGAAAGGCAGGCCCATTGCCACGGGAACTGTCAGTCCGGCAACTCATTACACCACCCCCATCACCAGTCCCGGAGAGTCCGAAAGAAGAGGAGATGGACTCTGAGGATACACAGGAGCATGTCCTGGGTAAGTGTTGGAGTAATTTTGGAGTGGAATCGTCAATATTTCACTTTATACACAGAACTAAAGTTGCAAATCAGGTGCAGTAAAGCAACGGTTGCTGTTGAGAGTAGTTGGATGGATGACTGGCAGCTTGACTCCTCAGTTTCTGGAACTTGGGTCCGGCCCACAGTGTGCATGGGGAGTCTCCATATGGAATTGACTGTTTGAAACATGCCTCTATCTGCCCAGTGGGCAATGGGTACCCCGGTAGAATGATATGGCGCTAAAACGGTCAACATTCCTGTGGCTTATAAGCAGCCTGAAAATCGATAGCACTCTGATCCATGAACTGGGGTAATAATGTAGAACTTTCAGAAGGTTTCAGGACATGTATTTCATAAATATGCGCATTGTTGATGTTGACCTTGCTATTGACGTTGCTGTTGCCATGGCCATGGATACTGTCATATCCAGTTCCTCCTATCACTTGTAACTAAAAAATACAGACCCATGAAGGTCCGGGTTAGAATATTGATCTTCAGTAACCCATGCTTGTCGTAAGAGGCGACAACAGGATCAGGTGGTCAGGCTCACTGACTTGGTTGACACATGTTATCGTATCCCAATTATGTAGATCGATACCCATGATTCTGATTGCAGGATTGTCTGGTCCAGACTCGATTATTTACAGACCGCCGCATTTAGTTGGAATGTTGCTCCGTGTTATGGATATGTGCACTTCTTTCATAGATATGTGTGGAAGAGTTCTGTTGCATACTATGTTTAAACTGTAGACCAGCTGTTCCGCCATTTAAGTATTTGTGTGTCTGTGTTACTAGGCAACAGTTAGAGGTCTCTAAGTACAGTGCTAGTTTCATTACCTGGAGCTCCTCATGAACATTGTAATCAACTGCACAAAATTTATTATAAATTTTTTTCTGTTGATTTGAATTCTATTAAGGTGTTCTCTTTTTTTCATATGTATTATGATGATTAAGTATTAATTAATGGATAACTTTTTTTTGAGTTTGTAGAGATTGATGAAACAATTTTGTAGCCTCATTCCATGCAATTTCCATGATGGGTTTAAAACACAAACATTCAAGGGAAGTAACTCTAAAATGTTGCCATTTTCATGTGATTGAAACCTAATGCACATCAATACATAAGATAAAGTTATAGCATTAAGTGTATTGTCAACAGCAACAAAAAAAACCAAAAACCTATGGTTTAGATTTTTAGGTTTAAAGGTTGGTATTGTGAACACAGGGTTTTGAAGACTATAGTGCATAAATAGCAGCATAACTGGAGTGATTGCTGAAACAGCTTTGTTGGTTTGAATATTGATGTGGTTATTTTATGTGCAGAGGACGGCCCCCTACAGATAGTGCTAGACAGTGATGACAGTTCTCCAGAAAAAGTCACAAGTCCTGAAAAAACAAACAATCATGTGAACGAGAACCACAATCATTCAAACAATGTGGACGCTAGACTGACGAACAATATTGACCATGGAAACAAGATAGGTAATTCTCGGCGAGAGGCCGCTGTGTGCAGCCATAACTCCAAGCTACGAATGTCCTTGGTGAAGGAGGTCAAACGACCAGGGAAAAGTAAGTTTTGGACATTTCTGTAATCATATGTGCATATGTTAGAGTCTTGGTCCAGTCCTGCTGTGAATTGATAGTTCTTTCTTTGCTGTTAAAGGTTTTACAGATTTGTAAAAATCAGTGCTTGTTACTGTTACTCAAAGCATGTGGCATTCATTGTATTGTCCACTGTCTGACATCGTCCACTGTTTGTGATGTCATCCATTGTCTATGATGTCATCTATTGTATATGACATCATCATTTGTATTTGACATTAATGCATCCTTTAATATCCTTACTGCTGTCTGAGTACATACAGGTAAAAGATTCAAGTACAAAGGTTTTATTACCTATGAGGGCGAAAATATCGGGGTTCATATATATGATCGGGGTTCATATATACAATGCCCTAGGGCAAAATATCACTTTGTCATGAACAATGGTATGATGTTATATTTCCTCTATGATGTTGCATTCTACATACAGTGACGGTGGATAGCCAGCCCATGATTGAAAGTATATTTGGGTTTATTTTCCTCCATTTCCTCTTCGGTATTAAATCGAACATTATGTTTGTGCCCATATCATACTATGTTTACGACACTCGTGCCTAAAAAATCGTATATCCATCGCTCTCGCTCAGGAAATACCAACATTTAGGCACTTGTGTCGTAAACGTAGTATGACATGGGCACTCATATAATATCCTCTATATATTTTTAAACGATATTGATCATTGGCCACAGGTGACCTTAATGGTCCTGGGACTGACTGTGCAGAGTTGCATCCCCTGGGTATTGCAGGATCCTATGATTGTGACTTGGTTGATTGCATATCATTGTACCCCAACAGTATGATGGTTGCTCACAATATACATCACTGGATTATCTGATCCAAACCCAAAATCATTTACCAGGCCGCTGTCATGTTGTTGAATGCAGCATTAAAAACAGAACACAACTTTATGACCATGATAATACCTCATCCCACCAATATGAGCATTTTGTTGTTTTATGAAAAGGTCTTTTGATCTGGTGTTTGGTAGACAGTACAGAAACTGTGATGGTTGGTCAGTGCACATTTCCAAATTATTCATTCCCTCGTTTAAAAAAGTGAGTGAGTTTTCATGCTGGTCTTAGCAATATTCCAGCAACATAATGGCAATGGCCACTAGAACTGGGCTTCACACATTGCACCCATGTGGTGAATCAAACCAGGGTCTCTGGTGTGACAAGTGAATGCTTTAACCACTAGGCTACCCTACCACTCCCTTACAAATCCCTTTACAAAGATGTGTGTTCTCATGGACAAATAGCTCTCATTTTTTAACGTACAGCATCGATGATGATCTTGATGATCTTAGTATTCATTTAGGCATTTTGTATTGTGTTTCAGATTACGATGGTATATTTTCTCTGCTGAACACAGTGCAGGGAGGTTTGGATACTCGGTGCTCGCTGGTCAGGGACGTCATACATGAAGCTGCAAGATTTAAGAAGAAAGTGCTAATCAAGATGCTGGAACAGTTTGTGGACACCATGGTGCAAGGGGAACCACGGAGAGACAGATCAAACTCTTTGACTGTACCTCATGCAAGGTGACAGATTCTGTGGTTGCCATAGCAACATTTACCTGTGATATTTTAGCAAAGACATGCAAGTCTCGGAATTCTTTACTTTCGTGGATGGATCTCATGTGATTTATGTGATCGAATGTTTTTGTGTTGTTTGCCATTTTCATCATAATCAGTGCTGAATGCTACGCAAGAAAACTGAATGCTTCACAAGAGGACTGAATGCTTCACAGGAGAACTGAATGCTTCACAATAGGACTGAATCCATTGTTAGAGGACTGAATGCTTCACAATAGGACTGAATGCTTCACAGGAGAACTGAATGCTTCACAAAAGGACTGAATGTATCGCAGGAGAACTGAATGCTTCACAAAAGGACTGAATGCATCGCAGAACTGAATGCTTCACAAAAGGACTGAATGCTTCACAAAAGGACTGAATGCATCGCAGGAGAACTGAATGCTTCACAGGAGAACTGAATGCTTCACAAAAGGACTGAATGCTTCACAGGAGAATTGAATGCTTCACAAAAGGACTGAATGCATCGCAGGAGAACTGAATGCTTCACAAAAGGACTGAATGCTTCACTAAAGGACTGAATGCATCGCAGGAGAACTGAATGCTTCACAGGAGAACTGAATGCTTCACAAAAGGACTGAATGCATCGCAGGAGAACTGAATGCTTCACAAGAAAACTGAATGCTTCACAAGAGGACTAAATGCATTGCAAGAAAACTGAATGCTTTACAAGAGGACTGAATGCATCGCAGGAGAACTGAATGCTTCACAAGAGAACTGAATGCTTTGCAAGGAGACTGAACACTTCACAAGAGGACAATTTGCTAGATTCAGGGATGCCCAGGTTTGGACAAGTATACTGGTTTCCAAGACAACAGCCAGTAAAATATTTGAGTTGTTTTCAACCAGAGAGCAAAACTTTGGAAATCTCATGCTCCTCCATTTGGTTTTGACAAGAAAATGTGCAAGTAAAAGTAAAAACTGCAAATGAACATTTATTTGCAGTTGTCATGCTCATTTTTCTATGATTTGCAGATGTTTGCAATTTTTTTCTGATTTGCAGTTGTCTTGCAAATTGTCTGTGATTCCTGTTGGTACTTATTTCAGTTCTCAGACCTGCACTTCCTGTGTGATGTGTACAAAACAAACACCTCCTTAACAACATTACATGTCCAGTTGTTCCTTCATAAACAAGAATGACAATTCATCCATCTCAAAACTTGTATACAGATTAATTCATGACATTCAATGCAACGGCTGTTAGCTTCTGGTATTAAACCAGAACTGTGTTAAGCTAAACCAGAACTGTGAAAACCCAGTCTTCACTATCCAAAACAATCAAACATCTGCACATATGTGACATATGTTTCAATCATGCTTGACCAGGGATTTCTGTTTGAAGAAGTTTTGTGCTACATATTGTGTTACAACTGCACGCCCCTCATAATGAATTAAGGGGACACTGGGGGCACAGCGGTCCTAGGTTAATCCTAAGATCAGGGTTTGAATCCAGATGTGTGCTGATAATACTTCTTACCTGCTTCACTTCACAGCAAGCTGACATGCCATGATATGACTGGAATACTATGAAAGTAATGATAGAGAAATATAACAAAGCAATACAGAACTAGATAATAGAGCTACATTTGCATGTATGAATTAATGAGCCAGAAAGACTGATTATTTGTTTTGCTTCCGGATCAGCGACCCAGGAAGTATGAAGTAGGGAAACATAGGGTTGGCTAAAGAGATTTATGATCGGAAATATCATTGATGGGAATTTTATTTTCCGGTAATAATTATTGATTTGAAAATTGAGGCAAGGATAAGGATAGAACAAACTTTTGAGATGAAGAAGTTTGAATTTACTCACATAATACACAGTTAGGTCTATATACATGGGCTGTTTCACAGCTGATGTGAAATATGTTGATTTCTTTCAGATTGTTTTGGCATTTTATCAAGATATCTATCGACATTTAGTAATCGGTATCGATAGCTAGCCCTACTGAAACATGCAACATAGATGGTCAGATGGAAAACAAGTGCTTGCAGTCGGTAGGCTGTTTGTTTGTCAATCTTTGAACCTTTGGTTCAGTCCCGACATTAAAATAGTTCCATGTCCCAGATGTCCACATGGCAAAAGGGCTTGATCATTATGTTTACAATGGTGGGCGATCATTAAGTTTACAATGGTGGGCGATCATTAAGTTTACAATGATAGTCAGTTTCAAGTTTGTTACATTATCAGGTGTATTATGAGTCATGCACCTGGGCCCCTATTCTCGAAAGGATCCTAGCCCTAGGATATCCTAACTTTGATCCTAGGGTCTAGGATCGGTGTCCTACCTTATTCTCGAAAGGATCCTAGCTCTAGGATATCCTAACTTAGTCTATCTTAGTGGAAGTCAACATAGTGTGGTTCTTGTTTGTTCACCAATTTTGACGTCAAACAAAATAACTCGCCAAAATTACATTTGAATTTACAACAGCACACGCTTTTGATGAGTTACGAAGAGTTTTTTAGTTTATATTATCAATTTATCGGTAATGAATAGACACACTTGATATAGTAACAAATCTCCCAATAAGCAATGCACGTATTCTTTAGATCTACAAAGAGATTTGTTCAATTCTTACCTATTCTCGGCCTTTTTGATCACAACATTGCTCTTTTCAGTCACATTCGCGTGAAATGTCAATGTAAAGGCCAACCTGATAGGGAAGTAACTCCTGTTTATTTCCTAGGTAATTTTTTCAGTTTGTGAGATGACGCATAATGAGAGTTCAAGTCATGATTTTCATAAAAAACAAATACAATGAAAATATTGTTTGCACATATCTTTAATATCCTTATTGCTTTTTGGCAGACTTTAAAATTCTGAATAAATTGTTATCGCCTTGTCAAAATATGAATTTTCAAAAACTTTAAAACTACTATAATGTGATGAAAATATCAAAGAAGTTTCTTCTAGATCTACGGAACGAATCATGGGTAATATTTAGGGGAATCCCCAACTTAATGAAGGTTTTTCTATCTCACCTACTGAAGAGCTCGCTATCCTAGCAAGGATAGGTAGCACAAGTTAAGACAGGGATAGGATCGTTTCGAGAATGGGGCTTATCCTAACGGTAGGATGTCCTAACTCCTGTCTTAACTACTTAGGATCTGTCTTAGCTGGGACACTTTCGAGAATAGGGGCCCTGATCATTTACTCCAATTCATAAGCTTTCTAAATGATTGACAATCTTTCCAAATGGATCACAATTACCACTGTCAGGGCGGCCAATATGGCAATGAAGACAAATTTTTATGGAACTTGACATCTAACTAAAACATAAATCTTTCATTTTGATTGGACAATCAGTTTTGCTCTGGGTTTACCTATATGGATAGTTTGTCAGATCTTGATAAGGAGGGGTATCAAATCCCGATGACTAGGGGAATCAAATCCTGATAACTAGAGGTATCAAATCCCGATGAAGAGGGTATCCAATCCAGATAAGGAGTTGTATCAAATCATGATAACTTGGGGTATTGAATCATGATGAAGAGGGTATAAAATCCTGATGAGGAGGGGTATCAAATCCTAATCAAAAGGGGTATCTGATCAAATCAAATCAGATTAACGACCTGATGTGAATGAACTTGTTCCTCCAGATAGCACTGAAGACAGTCGAGTCCCACCACTATGGCCAGTATCAGAGCAATCCATTTAAACTGCCATATAAGTCATTCTGTCAATGTTGCCTAAGTTTATCCCTGTGAAATATACCTGTATGGATTATATGGACAGGTAGACACTATCTGGTTAGTCACAGCACTTTCTTTACTAGTGGTTCAGTAACACAGCCAGGTTTTAGGAAAAACAGTTAGTCCAGATATTGTCAGGTCTTGGACTGACAAGCTAGTGCTTGTAATGCCATAAAATTCATATGTAATTATTGTGAAATGAATGTAATCGTACAGAAATAAAATCATTCTAGACCCAATTCAGAGGTTGTATTTTCAGACAGGATATCATTGATGGTCGGTCCAACAAGGAAATATCTTGTTATATCTGATCACTTGATCTTGCTCATAAATCCAGTATTCTCAACGAGTCCTCTTATTTGAAATATCTTCCAGCTCGTGTTGAAACTAGGATACATGTAATGTCATTTCAATTATGGCTGTGTATTGGCTGAACAATTGTGGCGAGGTATTGGGTGCTAACGTGTTTGACACTCATTGACACTTACTGTACATGCAGATCCTATTTCAATATACTAAAGTAAATATTCCTTAGCATGGTCAGACGTTCCCATTTTGTAGTCATGGATACAGGGGAGATAACAATGTGAGAGAACAGTCACTTCAGTGTTTCCTGTCATTTTTAAGGGAAACTTTGTGAATATTTTGTGTAGATTTTAGGTTAGATAATATAAATGTTAACAAACTTGTGCATGTATTTTTATACTGTTTTTCCAATATATATACAGAAAACAAAAATATTACAAAACTGGCTAGAAAGAAAACGTGAAGTATTGGTAACTGGGCAGATCCTTGTTTCTCACTTTTGACACTAAGTGGGAAACAGCTGATGTTTGTCTACGTTGACTGTAACTAGAGGTGACGAGAGTTGCGGATTGTTAACTGGCGATTGTTCGCTGCAATTAGAATTTATGGATATTGGTCATATGGACAAGGTGCCATACTCAGATCAAAATTCCTGGTTCAAATCCCACCATGACAAACAGATGATTACCTTTATCCAGATGATACAGTTAATATTGCTAATGATGATTTGTTTTAAATTACTGTTTCAGTCTGAATTATCTCAAATTACAAAACTTGAGGGTTTCAGAGTATGTACCACCCCTACCTATCTGAAGTGTGATAAACTTATGTGAGGTGCTTCAAGAGCTCTGTGTGACTGAAAGAGGTGCTTCAGGAGCTATGTGTGACTGAAAGAGGTGCTTCAAGAGCTGTGTTATGCTGAGAGAGGTACTTTTAAGAGGTGTATGAGATAGAAAGATGTTCTTCAGTAACTGTGACTGAAGAAGGTGCTTAAAGAGCTGTATGTGAATAAAGGGGTGCTTTGAGAGCTGTTATGATGAGAGAGGTGCTTCAAGAGGTGTGAGATAGATGTTCTTCATTAACTGTATAACTGAAGAAGGTGCTTAAAGAGCTGTATGTGAATAAAGGGGTGCTTTGAGAGCTGTTATGAGAGAGGTGCTTCAAGAGGTGTGAGATAGATGTTCTTCAGTAACTGTATGACTGAAGAAGGTGCTTAAAGAGCTGTATGTGAATAAAGGGGTGCTTTGAGAGCTGTTATGATGAGAGAGGTGCTTCAAGAGGAGTGTGAATGATAGCAAGTCTCATGACATTCCTTTCATGTGGTCTCATACAGCATTTGAAATAACTGCCGGCATGCTGTCCCGTGGCTAGTAGTTTTCTGTTGGGGCCAGTCATCTTTCGAACCCAGTATCCCACCTGTACAGTGACAGGGTGATGTGATAAAGCTGGAAAATTGATGTTGAGTGGGCATGAACATTAAGGTCAGTGCTAGGTGTTAACAAGGTCAGATTTTATGACATTTTCTATCAGTTTCCTTTAGTCACGTGTTTGAATCCCATATTTAGTAGAATTTTATGGTTTGCCTGCACCATATTTAAGGTGTGAGTTTCACCACTGACGTCCAGTTGTACAGCTCATCAGTTTGAACTTTCTCCCAATGCATACTGAATATAAAGCGGTTTTAAACCCAGTTCACTCACTCACTGACATCTGAACTCACCAGGGATCATCTCTCATCTTTCATGTAAAGAATAAACCCATCACAGTCACTGAAGAGCTGTCGCCATGGGCTATACAGTCTTTTTGCCATGGCCTTTCATTACAGAAATACTGTTCAAAGTGGCATTAAACCCAACTCCCTCACTCACTCAGACAACAAGTCTTCCCAATCTGATTTTCAAATTTACGATCACATTCGTAGTTGGGTTTTTTGTGACAGTGCGTGTTTGTTAATACTTGTGCGTGAAAAGAGCTAACCATTCCTGTTGTTGTGGTTGCTGGTTGCCAAAATTCGGACAATTTGCAGGTGAAAAAAAATCCAAGCACTGATGATATTCTGATATGGTAGGAAGTCGCGGAGTTAAAAATTGTTTAATACCATGGTAACAGGCGTTTTTGTGATGGGTTTCTCTGACAACTCGGCATGTTGCTTTAATGCATACATTCAACATTGACATTAAGACATAAATGAAAAGATGAGTATACACCTATAGAAAGTAACATGGTCCTATATGGGGATATATAATTGGGTGAACACTTCCCCAAAATATCCATGGTCCAAAACCTTTGCTTTTTGTTATTAATGTATATAAAATAGGTCTAGGTTTGATAACCCATGTGGGTAAAGCATATGAAGCCTATTTCTTGGGGGCGGTGGGGTAGCCTAGTGGTTGAAGTGTTCGCACGTCGTGCTGAAGACCTGAGTTCGATTCCCAACATGGGCACAATGTGTGATGCCCATGCCTGGTGCCCCTCGCCATGATATTATGGAATATTGCTAAAAGCGGCGTAAAACCCAACTAACTATTTCTCATGTAATTATCACAATATTGCTAATACAAGCTTAAAACCATACCTACGCACTTTTAATGGTATTTATTTAATTCCTGATAAATTTATTTGTTTTGTGTATTACGTGTCATAATGAAATAAGGAAAACAACTTGACAATTTTGTTACACCTCTGTGACATTAGTGATTAAGACTCTCTTCTCATCAATACGGTTTCACTTTGGAAGGTATTTTTTAATTTCTGACAAAATCAAGTATTTTTGTCTAAAAGGTTTATATTGAAATAAAGAAACCAGCACCTATGGCCTTATGGTGGTAATGATTGGACCGCTTTGCTAATATGCTGTTATTCAGCACTACCCAATAGTGGTACAGTTTTCATGAGAGGTGCATGGTATTCTCGTGGGTATCAGTCTCACCTTAGACATACAGATGTTATCTGAATGAGCTCAGTGTATTTGATATACTTCCAAACTATGTTTAAGTTAAAGAAATATAAAATATGGTTTACTGATTTACAATATGTAAGGATTCATTCTCTGTTGAAAGTGGACCGGCTTACATTCATGATATATATACTTTACATAGGGATTTTATCTTTCCATGATATACAAAACTGAGAGGGCAAGTGTAAATTTATGTACAATATATAGTTAATGATGAATATGCCATAAACAGACAAAAAATAAAAATAAACAAAACTGGCCGTGCTATTGCTGGAATATTGCTAAAAGTGGCGTATAACTAAACTCACTGTGTTTACTGGGCCTTGTTTTACAAGAAGTCGTGGCACATAGATGAATGTAAGTATGTGATCAATTATCGCAGTCTTAAGTCTCCCCCAAACTGTTCATTGTTTATAACATTTTTGGTTCAGCGGAGAACAAAGATATAACACACTGGATAATTGAGGTTGTTTGAAGTCATAAAAAATCAAATCTTGACTGTTAATACCTTCTGAGAACTGATGTGTTGGTGCATCTTTCACATTGCAAAATATCAAGTCAGGTGTGATGGCAGCTGTTTCTCTGTTTTATGTGAAAGTCATCATTGCAGAACCCATCGTAATTGTTTGTAAATGTGTGGAGCTTTGTGAGTATGTACGTTGGCAGCAAGGCAGCCGTAATGTCGTTGGAACAAGTTAGTTATTTCACATGAGTTTATGTTTGGGCAAATGCTTGGATGATCCAAGTGAATGTTTGTGTTTGACTATCACAGTGTCCATTTTGATCAAAAGCTGTGTTGAATTAAAACATGTTGACAATGAAATTGTCAGTTTTACAAGTGAATAAATCTAAAAGTAAAATATGCTTTTGTTTTCTTTCAAATAAGACTGACCTTTGGGGAGCTCTTGCTCACCACACCTGAGCCGGGTAGAACTGGTGCTAACCAGAAGCACCCAGTCTGGCACCCAGTCTGGCACACACCATGGAGATTAAACAATGACTGGAGTCAGTCCTGCCCCACAACGAATCACTCATGACACATGTGGTCTCACCTTAGGCAAGTGAGTTTGCTCATGAATTGCCTCTGTTCACCCAGCAGTGAATGGGTACCCAGTGGGAACAGTCATATGACTTCTAGCACCTCACAGGCAGCTTGGGTTATCCTGGGTAATAATGCATTAGTGCTTTCAGCATGCACAAATGTGTGGAAACAGGCGCTCTATTAATGGCCATTATTATTATAGAACAAGTATATATGGATGACAACTTCTTTTATTCTGGAGCATGACGTTTTGATACAGGTTCTTGTATCGGGTTTTTTTTCATCCCAAATATTAAGTAGTGATGATCATACAAAATTGTGTTTAAAAAAAGAAAGACTCGAAACTATTAGGACAGCAAAAATAAAAGGAATCATATTTAGGAGCAAGGCCAAATGGTATGAAGAGGGAGAGAAGAATACTGAATATTTTATGAACTTAGAAAAGAGAAACTATATAAATAATAACAGAAAATGAAATTCTGACGGAAAAGGAAGACATATTGAGAGAATGTTCAGAATATTATTGCAATTTATACACAAGTAAACACGCAAAAGATTGGCTAGATTACCTAGATGTATATACGAAAAATTATGACCAGAAATTATCAAATGATAAACGCGAATTTTGTGAAAATACACTTACGCTAGATGAATGTACACGAGCCTAAAATAGTATGAAGAATCGAAAGAGTCAAGGATCGGATGGTTTCACAGCAGAGTTTTATAAAATTTTCTGGAAAGACATAGGTGTATTTCTCTGGCGATCTATTACATATGCATACGAATCTGGAATGTTGTCAGACTTTCAACGACAAGGTATCATAACGTGTTTGCCTAAAGACTCTCGTGATAGGCGATACTTAAAAAATTGGCGACCTATAACTCTTCTAAATGTAGATTACAAAATTGCATCTGGGGCCATAGCTTCACGACTGAAAGAAGTCCTTCCTGAGATAATAAGTGAAACTCAAACAGGCTTCTTAAAAAATAAATTTCTAGGAGAAAATACTCGAATATTATATGACTTAATGAATTATTGTGAAGGATATAAACTACCTGGTCTTTTAGTTGCAATAGATTTTGAGAAGGCATTCGATACTATCGAATGGGACTTTATTGACAAGGTACTGGAAGTATTTAATTTTGGCCCGTTATTTAGAAATTGGATTCAACTCTTTCAGCGTAATAGCTGTAGTGCCTCAATTTTATCGGGTTTGTTGTCAAACTTCTTTTCCTTAGGACGCGGATGTCGTCAAGGAGACCCAGTAGCGCCATATCTCTTTGTAACATGTGTCGAACTATTGGCTATTGCAATTAAATCTAATAAGCATATCAATGGTATTACTATACAAGATATAGAATATCTCATCTTCCACTCATGAGCGATATGAATTTCACTTTAGATGGATCTGAACAAGGACTGTCAGAGCTAATTCATATTATTAAAACATTTGCAATAGTATCTGGTCTAAATTTAAACTGTGATAAAACTATAGCTGTCTGGATAGGGTCCAAACGAGACACAAATGAACAACTCTGCCCATATATACCTCTTCGCTGGTCCAAAGAACCATTTAAAATCCTGGGAATAATTTTTTCAACCAATTTAGAAGAAATGATTACATTAAATTTCGAACCGCAGTTTTCAAAAATTAGAAAAATATTATTCTCCTGGTCAAATAGATCATTAACTTTGATAGGCAGAATAACGATAATTAAAACTCAAATTATCCCCCTTTTTACACACTTGTTTACCGCCCTCCCTAATCCATCTAAACTCTTTTTCAAACGTTTGAATACTATACTTTTTACGTTTATTTGGGGTGGGAAGCGTGATAAAATCCAAAGGAAAATGTTGATAAACGACTACTGTAAGGGTGGCTTAAAAAATGATCGATGTTATATCATTCTGCAAGTACATGAAAATCAAATGGATAAGGAGATTACTGACATCAAAGGGGTTGTGGCAGCACCTAGCATTTGAGACATTATCACCTTTTGGTGACATTAATCTATTCAGCTTTCAAGTGGAAAAAATACAATCCTACTCTAAAAATATTAAAAACTATTTTTGGAAAGATGTTGTTTCATGCTATGCATGTATCCATTCTAAAATTAGTGAAAGTGTTGAAGATTTTATGTGCTTGCCACTTCTTAATTTTGTACCTGTTTCCGATATTGGGTTGTTCGTCTCATGGATAAAAAAAGGCATGAAAAATATGAAAGACATTGTCTCGAACAACGGTGAGTTCAAGTCCTATGATACGCTTAAAGAAGAATTGTACCTTAAAGAAACATATCTCCTTTATTTCAGATTTTTTAAATATATACCCAAACACTGGATCAAAGCCATCAGAGACACAAATCAAAAGATAGAATCAGTAAACACTCAGTGTAATACTCTCACACAAATACTCAACTCAGCTGACTGTAAATTGATATATACTCAGCTATGTGAAAGTCAAGAAAGCTCTCTCTATAATCTTCAGCGGAAATGGGAAACCAAACTTAATATTACTCTAGCAGACGACTATCTTTGTGACTGTTTTGCACTGATAAATAAAATTACCATAGAAAATAAAGCCAGGAATTTTCGGAAAAACTGATTCATCGAATAGTTACAACTAAGTCATTTTTGTTTAAGATAGGTATCAGTGATGATAATGCCTGTACCCTCTGCAACAAAGAAATAGAAACATTAGAACATTTATTTTATTTCTGTGAAAAAACAAAACACCTTCTCTCAACATTTGTTGAGTGGTATCGATACAAAACTAGCTGTAATATAAGTATAAATGTTGAACATTTCCTGCTGGGAGACCCGGAGGCACCTGTCCTTATTAACCATCTGTTTATCATTATCAAGAAATATATTAACAAAACAAGATATGACTTTACGGAATTAAATATCAACCAACTTATATATTTCATAAAATACCATTTCAAACTAGAAGAACATATTTTCGGAGAAATGAATGAAAAATTTCATATGAAATGGAATCCTTTGTTCCCTTGTGAGTAAAACCTTTCTGCACCCTGTGTCTATACCGCTATCCTTCTCTTTTCAAACTCCTCCCGTCTGAAAAAAAAAGTACAAAATATTGCACTTTTGATTTGCGATTGTACGCTTATAATTTTGTTTATATGTTTTTTTCATAACCAGCAATGTATATTATATGTCATGAATAAAAAAAAAAGAAAAAAAGAAAGAACCTGTATCGAAACGTCGTGTTCCAGAATAAAAGAAGTTGTCATCCATATATACTTGTTCTATCTGACCTCCAACTTGCCACTCAAAGAAGCTATTAGTTGAGATTTGTCCACGCAATCACACATATGCATGTCTCAAGTGAACTGAACTTAAACGTGTTGTTTAACACAATTTCACCTCACCCAACATAGGGACCAGAGCATCCTCATTATCAAACACAATACATACACAACATTCTTCAACTATTTAACGGGCTATGGTAGCCAAGTGGTTAAAGCATTCCCTCGTCACATTTCCCGTAATTCATCCTGATATTTCAGTATATTACAATATCAATACATGCATCACATTCAGAATATTGGTTTGATAACTACTGTTCGTGAAGCTTGCGTTACAAATATGTTTGTACGATGAATACACAATGCCACATAGGAAGGTCAAATGATATATGATATATTTGGGATTACTTTCTCTGGAAAGGACACTTTGTACTACATTTTTGGTTGAGTCCCATCCCGAAATCGAACCCACACACTCAGAGTCAGGCACCTAATCACCAGCACACAAAGTCAGTGGTGTGTTGTGTCATCCACATTCATTCTCGTATTTGATTTTATTCATTGATCAGTAAATCATATTGCATAAATAGCAACAAGCAGGTTATTAACCTTTATTCTTTGTACAGCATATCTATAAACTATTTCTTCCTTTTAATTTTCTTATTCTTATTTGGAATCATTGTACGAACTACTGCAGGTCGATAGGATGCTGATTGGTGGATATTTGAGGAATGTTTTGGTCTCTTTGCAACTGGCGGTTCCAGTCCCAGAACACCAACTACATCCTCCTCCGCAGACTCGGACTCGGACGTTGAGCGTTGTGGTGAGAGGACACGTTTATGGCCCTTCGAGCCTGAAAGTGGGATAAAGCTATCACCAAAGGATTCGCCACCCTTATACACATATAGATGTGAATAGTCCTTCTTTGGAACAAACGGTGGAGGTCCGTTGACGGGAAAGACAAGACGTACACCTTTCCCTGCCTTTTCATCAGCAGTGTTTACAGTTATGGATTTCCCATCCTTTTCTGATGAGATTGAAAGCTGAGATTGTGATGGACCTCCATCTTTATCTGGATCTTTGTCGGAGTCTGGCGTCAAAGACAAAAGAACAGTCTGGACATTTTCTGCAGTGTTTTTAGTTTGGGGTCCAAGTTGATCATTGCTGGAGTCTAATGTCAAAGATAAGAAACCAGTTTTATTATCAGCAGAGTGTTTAGTTTGGGTCTCATTCTTTGAATCTTCCAACAGCCTTGAGTCAGAATCCATCCCATGCGAAACAAGACCACTGGACGTCCCAGGAGTGGAGAAACTGCTGTCTTCTGGAAGGGAACCAAGGCCTGTTTTGTGCTGTGGACTCTCTCCACTGTTTCCTTTTGTAGCCACATCATCTGTGACGGTTGAGGCATCACCAGCTCCACCTTCTGTAGAAGACTCCAGCAACGTTGTCGGATCATCACTGGAGCTCACTTCCAGGGATCTGTTTAACCAGGGTTTATCGAGGGGAGGAGCCTGACTCTTGCTGTATGTGACGAACTCAGTGAACTCAGACTTGCTGCCTGCTGTAACCTTCTGCAAAACATGGATGGAAAACAGGGTGAGTCAATTCTGTCTTAAACAAATTAAAATGTATGAAGATGAGAGGGAGGTGTAGGTGGGAGGTTGGCCAAATCTCATTTAGACACAATGGACCCGACCTCCCCTCCCTAGATCCTTACTAATGACGATTGCTTAGAATCCTTTCTTTCTGCGTAGTTAACAGTGGTTATTTTCTCAAAACCTTTTGTCCCTTGTCAAAATGAAACTTTAAAAAAATCAGATAAGATCTCGTTATGTTGTGTTGCTTTCTTGAATGGACACTAAGCTTCATGTGTATCTCCCAAAAAGGAGTTGTTCCATGAGCCCATCAATGGTCCACATCAGAAGACAGAAACAAAGGGAGCTCACTCTGTTCAAGCTACCATACCAAATACCACTCACACATAGAAACACCTATCAATATAATATATTGCAGATTCAAAAGTGTGACTCTGAATTGCTTAGATATTTCTTCTGCTAGTGAAATAGGTCGAGGTTTGTTCCCTTACATCACCCTGATGGCCAGTATGTCCTTTTAATCTCCTGAACAAATTCAGACAACAATTCAAGCAGTCCTGTGTCATGGAGACTGGTACAATGTAATTTTGTCCTCACTTTTAACAGTCAAGTCTCACCTTAAACCCCATAGCAACCAAACTGGTCATCCCAAGCAGCGGAGAAATCTTGGGATTGAATTCTGGGATACAGAGGGCTGGACATCCTCGGTTGGCAGCCAATGGGATCAGGTGTTTTGTGATGATTGATGGTTGTGTAGATCGGCAAACTATAATAAGGTCAAGGTCATCCTTTTCCAACCCTCGTGTGACCTCCCTGACACCACACACAATCTGAGATCTGTTGAAACAGCATGGCTGACAGTATTAATGAAATAAACTTTCTGAAATCATTTGATCAAGATTACAAGGGTCATCTATTGTTAAGGGTGAGTAAGTTTGGTTTTACGCCGCTTTTAGCAATATTAAAGCAATATCGTGGCAGACACCAGAAATGGGCTTCACACATTGTACCCATGTGGGGAATCGAATCTGGATCATCGACGTGACAAGCAAATGCCTTCACTACTAGGCTACACCACCGCCCCTTATTGTTAAGAGTCAACAGAACAAGAACAAGAGCAGAACAAGTAAATACAGCCCTGCTGATGACACACTGACAAATTACATGTATAAAAAATGTCACTCCAGTAACATGATCAAAACACAAAAATCTCTTTACACCATGAAAATATTTGACAAACTTTTATTTCAGTGTTTCATCCGAATCTAAACAAAAACAAAGGTGCATCCTCCAGGAAATCTGCAAGCTTCAGGATTTGCCATGTTCTCTGTACTCTACCTTGTCAGACAAGTAACTGGATAGACAAAGAATTTTGTGTACCTGTCTACCTCAAAAGTAAAAACACTGAATTTTTTTAATCTGTGCCAGAATTCGGAATATACATTTGTTCCCTTTACAACTAACAACACTATTTCCTGTCAAATCACAGGAGGAAAATGCCATTGATATAACAAGTGTTTGAATATATATTAACACTGCACTCTGCAATATTCAGGATATGTGACTGCAGCTTATAAATAATCACACCTGGATCAGGCAATCCAGTGATTGATATTATGACCAACCATTCACACAAACAATGACATGCACTCAACTAAGTCACTAAGGCTGATCTTGCAAATCATTAAGTCACCTCTTGCTGGGGACCAGTTCTAAACAGAATCCTGATGAGTGGATGAATAAATACATGCAGCTGTGTACCTGAGTTTCCGTCTCTTGTTTTCAGCATTCTTCTTTTCCTCTGACAGCTGCTGTTCATTCTCTGTTTGCTTTTTTCCTTTAAAGTATGATGCAGGTCTTCTGGGAACTTTGATAGGGATTGACTTCAGCACACTGAAACAGTGATAAAGTCACAAAACTGTTTAGTGAACTCCACAACAGGAATTTTGAAATCTGACATACTAACAGGCCTTCAAGTCTCCTGGATGATCAAACCCTTCAATTTGTGTTGTTTGTTTCATGTTTAACGCCACATTGAGCAATATGGTGGTCTGTAAATAATTGTGTCTGGATCAGACAATCCGGTGATCACCAGTATCAGCATTAATCTACGCAATTGGGATATGATGACATGTGTCAACCAAGTCAGTGAGTCTGACCACCCGATCCCATTAGTCGCCTGTTACGACAAGCATGGAATGCTGAAGACCAGTTCTAACCCGGATCTTCACGGGCTGAAGACCTTCAGCATCTTTCGCCTAACAATTTTTTGCGCTACTGTACAAAACCTTCTCGGGGTCCAAGCTCAGAAACCTTGTACCTAATGCTGTGCATGAGAAGAGATTTTTAGTACTCAATGCTGTTGAACACTGTTTCACCTATGTCACGATGGCAGCAGAGACCATATAATATTCTATTATTTTATTATATGGTCTCTGATGGCAGGTAAACAATTTTATCTTCGAAACAGATATTGCCTGGGTAGGATTTTACTATTTCAAAACTGCATCACAATGCTTTACAGACGATTGAGGTATCATCATGACTCCGGATCCTATGTTTAACAACATCGTGTCAAATCTCCCTGATTGACTGAATTATTGCAGCACTTTACCTCTGCAGCTCATCCAGGATTCTCCCTTCAAAATATTTGTCTATCACTGGCCTGAAAAAACAAATACATATGATGTAATATTGAACAGGTAGGAGGTATGTGGAAAATCTGCATGTTGAAATGAAATGGACACTGCACCCTGTCTGCATATCGTTTCATAAACATTTCACTCTCGTGTAAATGAGTACTGGACTGTAACAAACATTTAAATACAATAGAAAAACACAGACTATCATATAACTGGAATATTACAACTGGAATAGGGAGTACTGCACTTTACCGGGCGCACTTTTTCAGATTAATTAGCGCTGCTGGGGCTCGAACGCGCTTCGCCGGATTAGTGACTTCGTTAATTAGTGACATAATTGGCGGACGCTCCACACCCTTCCCATTCATTTTTCATTTTTTTCTGGGACTGTACTGGTGAGACCATGGTGTTTCTGGGACTGGGAGTACTGCACTTTAAAGGGTGCCTAATCCTAACCCCAAACCCTAGGTATCGTAAAGGGTGCCTAACCCTAACCCTAAGGATCGTAAAGGGTGCCTAACCCTAACCCTAAGGATCGTAAAGGGTGCCTAACCCTAACCCCAAACCCTAGGTATCGTAAAGGGTGCCAAACCCTAACCCTAAGGATCGTAAAGGGTTGTTTGCCTCTAAAGAAGAGATCAGTGGAGCATGAGGCAATAAGCGAGACAGCGGGAGCGCTATAGCAGGGATACTCTACAACAGAGTCTCCCTGGCTTTAGTGAGATAATTGCTCCGCGGCGCTGGCCGGTGCTGCGCCCGGTAAACTACATTCTAGCCCTGGAAATAGACACATGATAAACCAAAAGTCCAAAACAAGCTGCTGTCTAAAACAGCAAGCTATCTCCGTGTTACACTTTTTGAAAATGAAACGAAGTAGTAATCCAAGACCATTTTGAAAGAAGACATGAAGATGACATGCCATTTGTATGTAAAGGGATTAAACAAGACATTCTTCTGCTTCTTTATTTCTTTCTTTTGCTTCTGTTTCACCGTCTCTCCTAAAGTTGATTTTGCTTCACCCTTGGAAAGCATGGGCGCAGCCATTTTGAAGGGGAGGTCACTCTAATGTTTTGAATCGCTTCCGATTTTTAACCCGTGAGATTTTCCCGCCATCCTGCGAAGAAGAGATTGTTGATGGTTGAAACAACGTAAACATGCCGCCAAGCAGACGATCCTCGAAACAGCCGAGCATAGACAAATCATCATCAACTCAATCGAAGAAGCTTAACGATGCACAATCACAATGGGTTATGATGGTTGAAGGTGTGTACATGCAACAGATGTTCAATACGACTGACGGGTCCGGTATGACGTATATGACACAGTCTGTTAGAAGTTACTTTTGAAGATATCACGACATATTTATTTTATGGATTGGAATTGTTAGTGCATCAAGGGGATATTAGTGTACTGATTTACTTTCAGTATTATTCACTTATCGTCACTGTTCCAATTTTGTCCACAAGATCCCGTCACTGAACGTAAGCAAAGAAGTAACATGTATATGCTATGTCGTTTACCTGAAAGTCAAAAGTAGACATACATGGAGTCCCCCAATCCAGCATGAACACACTGATACTGAAGAAAAGAAAATAGTCTCATTCTTGAACAGCATATCTGAACACTTCTGCTAGTACCAGTTGAAGAAGGCCCAGTCGCTCCATTGTTTAGTGAATAGAGTGTCTTACAAGAGAGTGGACGGCTGTTGGTTCATTGTACCATAACACATAAACGATGGTATTTGTTGTTTCCCTGCATTGCACTCAGCATTAAAACAAGGACTGGTCGACTCAGTATCATGTATGACAATATATGTCACAATGTCTGCCTGGGGTATACATACTTTAAGTTTAACATGTTTAAACTGTGGCTTCTCAGTGGGCTAGCACAATATATATAAAACTCTCGCATTGGCCTGGGATAGTACAAGCACACACATGCATGCACACATGATATGTTGGCATGGTATGAGCATGATGAATATTGTTATGATGGAAGTATGCCATTAATAAATTGTTTAAGTTTAACTTTATTAATGCTTTGTAGTAAATGTTCCAGACAATGTAACCATAATTGATCTACTTGCAGATTGTGTGTTGGAGGATGATGGCAGTGAAGAAAGTAGGCCGTTTATGTGCAAACTGAGACATCCCAAATCTGGTAGGTGTTTTTAAAATAATGCAGTTACAAGCACTTCCATACATTCACAGGTGTATCAAGATTGATCATGATTTTTGGAGGGGGCTCATTTGACATTTCATAAGAATCCCAATCAGGGCAACTTATATCTTCTAACAATCCATGAGTATAAGGACATTTGGTGGAGCATATGGATGACACGATCTTCTTGTTTTCTTTTTCTCTTAGTCATGCATGTATTTCATCATTTTTTATGTCCATTTTATCACAGATTCTGGCTGTTTGTTCCTGTTTGCCAATGGAGGTCGAGATGTATATGAAGCCATACAATATAAAGAGGAATTCAGATCTTGGTTTATTGGAGATACAATTCAGCATGGTGAGACATCAAAACCGAGATAGATTCAATGCATATTCGTGGCCTCATCATCTGAGACACTTTTTATGGTTGTGCGGAGTTGCCTCCCTTAGGTGTACCAGAACCCTGTGGTGTTTGGTATACATCCAAGATTTGGCCATACCAAAGTTCGGTGGTAAATGTGTTTCATCCCACATCAAGCTGCTGGGTGGTTGTATAACTGAAATACCTTTCATACACTTGCTTTCAATATCAATCACTTGATTGTGTGGTGCAGATGATTAGTTCCAGTCATATAACTTGAATATAGCTGAGTGTCATTTAGCATCATATGTAATAACTGTCACTTGCAGAAAGTATTGGAATATCGCTGACTGGGATTTTACAACAAAACAAGAGGTGTTGGTGGTGTTTCAGACGGAGGAATGCTGATGTTGACGACAGTGGATCCGCTGTTCTTGGTGATGCCATACCTGGTGAAGGAGGGACAGGTGGGTGGCACATCGTCAGGTTCGGATGCAAGTAGACCACTAGACCTGAGAAGTGTAAATGTAGAATGATTACTTATTTTCTCTCTTTTCGATGTAGTTTCTTGGATAATGAAAAATTGAAAAAATATCTCAAATTCGAGTGGTAACTCGAAGTGTTAACAAGTTAGCTGTAATGTGCTTTTCCTTGTTTCAGTCAGGAAAGTTTATGACGTTAGATCAGATTGTGATTGATGAGGATTACCCAGAATGCAACAGACTGCATGAATGCTCAGGATTAAGTGAACTGCATCAGATCACAGAGGTCAAAGGTATTTCTCCCCATAACTCTATCTTTTAAGATCATGGCTTCATTTATTTTTTATACTTTGTGAATGCCCTTATACGCTTGCTTTTTGCATGGACTGATATGCAAACAGGAGAAATATACTAAACAACAAAATGGGATTAAAGATCACATAAACTCTAGGGGCGTACAAATACATAAATCACTAATTGGTATCTTTATAAATGAAACACTGTCATTAAAACTACTCATTTCGATCTTTAATTAACTTAAATCGACCTTTTTTACAACAGTGCACAATTCTAACCCGAACGAAATTTCAACCAATCAGAGCGGGGCATCTCTGTGACGTCATATGCAGAATTCATGTACATTTCAGGGGGTAAATTATCTTGTTTACAGGTTTGTATAAACCTGAAATCGTGACAACTGTTGTGAAAAATGAAAGCTATATGTTCTCACAATCTACTGTCATTTAATTTTGTCTCCTGCTTTGCCTAGTTTCCGAGTTACAACTTGTTTTCATAGATGATTCTGTCAAAATTGCTTGGTATCGCTAGGCCTTATTTGTTTGGGCCAGACGCTAGTGGTAGCGAAAACGATGATCAGCCTCGCTCATCACGGTTACGGTTAATTTCTTCAACCTAAACAGTGCGACATTAAGAAGGGTGGATGCCCATCAGATGCAGTTGTTTGAAAATATCCCCGGTAGTTCATGTCTGATTGTAATAAAGTATCAAAGCAGTGTGGGCTTTTTCAGGTCTTCTAATGCCGGGATGGTATAATGACTGATCCAAGTTGATCCCATTTCTGTGTTTTTTTACCTCAATATTTAATCATGTCATATAAAAATATGACGTCTATTACGTATGATATTAAAAAATTGACATTTGATTTATTTGAATCCGTAAACTAAACAACCCTACTTTGCCATTGCTAGAAGAATCTAAAAATTTACTTAGGTAAATAGGTACATACAGTTTTAGCACACAGCAAATGCTTATATGTATTTCTTATGCAACAATGAAGTTCTGTTTGTACATGTATTCTCAAAACAGTGTCGGCCCATAAGTTTTCACATGCAATTAAAATTGCATGCAATACAGCACCCGTGTTAGGTGGTATAAACCTACACATGTTATTTGTCATCATTCACTTGATGGTCAGTTAATGAATTTATAACAGGTATAATTAGTGGTAACACCACTTAGATTACCCAACAAAAGTTCACATTTGGCATTCCTTGTGTCTGGAGTAAATACACAACATTATAAACATCGATCAAAGGATTAACGGATAACACGCTGATTGATTAATTACTTTTATCTTACACAGCAGATTTGTCACAATATAGATTCTATCCACCACCAAGGCCTAAGGCTCTGCCTTGGAGCTTTTAGGACCTCTCCGGTAGACAGTCTATATGCAGAGGCTAACGATAAACGAACCTTCCCTTGAACAACGCCGCATTAAACCTTCACTGCAGTATCTCACTAAATTACGTTCAAATGAGTCCAATCCAGCATACAATTGTGTTTTCAACCCTCTCTATGAATACCTGTTTCCCAAACTGCCAAGCCTGGTTCCACCACTTGGAATCAGAATTCAACCACACATATCTGCAGCTACATTCAATATCATAGCACCTTACCGACTCCTGTCTTCGCAACCTTGGCAGATGGTCACCCTTACAGATTCATTATCTTGCCTTCGAAATGTTACTTCAAGTCACCCAATCATTCTGGAAATTTTAGAACTTTGCAACGACCTCTCTACTGGCCAATGTGACATCGTCCTCTGCTGGTTGCCGGGTCACGTCGGCATAGCAGGTAACACAAAGCCGATGCTGCAGCTAAAGCAGCTCTTGACAAGCCCTTATCTTATCTCCACTACTGATCCCGTACAGTGATTTGAAACCCACTATCAAAAGCTATACTCGGGACCTCATGCAAAAGAGGTGGGACACTCAAGTAGGAAGAAATAAACTGTATGAACTGAAGCCAACAATTGGTTATACCTACTTGGGTTGTCAGTCAAGACGTGATGAGGTAATTTTACGACGATGTCGTATTGGCCACAGTCGGTTTACACATGACTATCTGCTGAAAACAGATGGGGATGGACCCCCCATGTGTGTCTCTGCGATGAGGCTTTCACCATCAAGCATATTCTGCTTGACTGTGTGGACTTATCGTGTGCAAGGGACTCACACTATGATGCAACAAATCTGAAAAATCTGTTCTCCCACGTGAGTGCTCATCTGATAGTGAAATACCTGAGGGAAGTTGATCTGTATCATAAATTGTAGCTGTGTAATGTGACTAACTAATTGCCTGCCTTTAAATTTAGTGCTATGACTTTTTCTGTTATTAAATGACAATGTAATGAATATATGTTTTTGAAATAAAACTCATTTTGACTCTGTACCTACAATGTTTATTAATGCAAACTTGTTCTCGTCACTATATGGCTGGAATAATGCTGATGTGACGTAAAGCTCAACTCAACTCAACTCAACTCAACTCAGTAAAGTACAGATTCTAGTACTTTTGTTGGGTTGAGTCCCATCCGGGATTCAAACCCACACCCTCAGAGTCAGATTATTTACATGTTGCCCTCGTTTCGCTTGAATTTTCTAAATCTATCATAAGAACAATTTGTTCCAGTATTTTGTCAATGTCCCGAATGATTATTTTTTACTCTAACCTATAGACAAAGGTGACTCCTCGTTTGTACAGTTCTCTTAATGACCCCAATGGATGTTGTTTTATCTGTTGGCTTTTTCTTGCTGAGGCACCGAGCCTTTGTACTGTAAGTGAAAATATCAGTCACTGAGATTGACTTGTCATCATGGTTAAGTTCATGAAGATATATGTGACCAGAAAAGCCAGATGTTTTCTTAATTTTTTTTGTAGCCATGGCAACAATACTTTGTCAAGTCCATGATAAATCACCATGACAATATACTCTTTAACTATGTGACATATGTAACACATGTTTACAGGGGATGATGACTTCAGAGCCTACAGGTTTGACAAGGACAAAACTTTGTCATGGTTGAAGCTCAAGGTTAGAATTTGTTTTGTTTTTTTCATTTTGTATGCCTCTCATCATTTTACCTTCTGTATAATCAGATTTCCAGCACCCAATGTTTGTGTGAAACTGACATCTGTTAGAGAAATGCAAGTTATTAAAATTGGCCTTAACATTACCAGAGGCCATTTGGTACAACCCGTGAAGGTCCGGGTTAGAATGAACCTTCAGTAACCCATACTTGTCGTAAGAGGCGACTAACGGGATTAGGTGGTCAGGCTCGCTGGCTTGTTTGACACGTCATCGGTTGCGCAGATCGATGCTCATGCTGTTGATCACTGGATTGTCTGGTCCAGACTTGATTATTTACAGACCGCCGCGCCATATAGCTGGAATATTGCTGAGTGCAGCATAAAACTAAACTCAGTCTCTCACTCATCTGGTACAGAAAGTAGGCCTAACTGTTGTGTCTCAATTGCAGAAGGGGCGGTGGGGTAGCCTAGTTGTTAAAGCGTTCGTTCGTCATGCCGAAGGCCCGGGTTCAATTCCCCACATGGGTACAATGTGTGAAGCCCATTTCTGATGTCCCCTGCCGTGATATTGCTGGAATATTGCTAAAAGCGGTGTAAAACCCAACTCACTCGCTCACAATTGCAGAGCAGCCACTAATCAGACTGGCATGAGCCTTGTACTTCTTATCATGTCAGCAGCTGCCCAAGAACTTTGTCATGTAGACCTATAGACACAAGATGAATCAGATTGTAATATTCTGCTTTCTGTTACCATGGTTACAGACGGAGATTGTGGCTGATGTTCTCCAGCAGAAGGATGTAAGTGTCAGCTCCTCAGGCGCCCACAGCTCTATGTTCATCCGCAGCAAGAAGGAGGAAGCCGTCGATAAAGGTAGGAGAGAGAACATGCCCTTTTGTTATGCATTCATTCATTCATGGAACATTCATCCATTTGTTTGTCCGTTCATGAAACATTCTCCATGATACTGCTAGGTGTAGAAAGGGGTTAAAACATTAACCACACACGTTTGTATTGAGAAATGTTCCATCATGCCCTGAATTCTCCATCTTTCTCCATCATGGTCTGATGAGGTTTTTTTGACCAATATTCATCCCTAGTGTCTATATTCTAAACGGTGTAGTGTTGAAGTTGATGTTTTGTGGAGGTTTATTTTGTTCATACTCAAATTTGAGAATGTAAACCAAGTATGAACAACATTCATGAATGAACAGAGTATTACCTATACGAACATACCTACATACATACATACTAACATTTGTATAGCGCCGATATCCAGCTCAGCTGCTCAAAGGCGCTTTGTTTTTCCCTCGTTCACTGGATGTCAATCTCAACGGCACGTCGTATTGTGAATCTCAACTCCCTGGGGAGCATACAACTCTTGCAGCCACTAGGCGCACCGAGTTATTGTGGCATTCCCATCCTTACGAGGTACCCATTTACAGCTGGGTGGACTGGGACACATAGTCACAGTACTTTGTCCATGTTTACTGCACGTTGCTGTACCCGCAACTGGGTGTTTGCACGTATTCATGTGGCCACCATCTGGTCATATACCAACGGATTCGTGGGTTCTTTTAAGTGCACAGGGTTGTGTACCGTACACTAGGGGTTGTGACAACACTGAAAGAGTCTGCACACAAAGTTGACTCCAAGGTTTTTACACCCGGTCACAGGTGGGCTCGATCCCATCACCTCCAGCTCGCTGGATCACTAGCCTGGCGCTTTAGCCAGTTCGATCACCGCGCCCCCACGAACCGTGTATGAACCGTGTATGAACCGTGATCAGCACGCTGCTGTGCATGCAAGTAGTTCCTGTCTTTATGGACATTTTGTTTGATGTCAACTCCTGTATGTTCTGGCAATTCTTCTTTTAGAACAGTACATCAAGTATGCATGCGGCATGGTGTCCGACTATCTCCCACCACAGATAGCTGATGATCTCAGAGACTACCTGGGGTAAGTAGAGCTAGAAGTGTAATCTGTAGGTAATTATTGTAGGCACCCCTATGAAAACGAACATTTACGACTGGATGTATATTATTGTGTAAACTATAGTTATGTTTTCCAGCATATACAGAATACACCAGTGTTAAGGGGGTTTGTAATTGTCTCATAACTTGTATTGTGTGAGAAAAAAGCTGTGTCCCTTGGTTTAAATGTTGATAAGTGCCCAGGTGAGTAGAACTACTAAGGGGAGTAACTCCAGTCAGCGGGTAGCCATCTTGTACCTAGTGCATCCATACCGGAGTGTAATTGAGTTCCAAGACAGAGAAGATCATTAATGATGCTAATTAACATCTGGAATTTAATCTGGAATTCAGACATTTGCTATGTAACGTCAATAAAGTTTTCAATTTAAATAATACAAGCTTGTTATATACTGAGAGAAACAAATAAGGGATCACAGAAAAATTGAAGCGTTCCTTTAATATTTTCCAGTTTTCATCACCAGCTTTGAATAGCACTATGCTGATGAAAACTGGAAAATACTAAGGAACGCTTCAATTTTCCTGTGATCCTTAATTTGTTTATCTCAGTATGTTTATAATTAGGAATTGTGGATAGATACATTTTTTGTAGTTCAGTGTTTATTTCTATTCCTTTTTTAACTGTTACTTACTATGTGATTGCTCTGAAATATTGAAACAACCTGAAAATGGACTGTAAAAGGGCTTACATTTAAAGTCTTGAACCAAGATGAAACTGTATTGATATTCCTTGGGGTTACCTTGGTCACAACAGATTCCCATGCAATTAGACATGTTAAATTGTCCGACTCAGTGTTCATTGTGTGTTATTGTTCCCTCACACATAAAATTAGTCACTGGATTGTCTAGATCATTTATTTACAACCCCCAATATTGCTTATTGCTGTGTTACACAACAAGGTACCCCTGAAGGTCCGGGGTGGAATATTGATCTTCAGTAACCCATGCTTGTCGTAAGAGGCGGCTAACGGGATCAGGCCCGCTGACTTGGTTGACACATGCCATCGGTTCCCAATTGTGCAGATCGATGCTCATGCTGTTGATCACTGGATTGTCTGGTCCAGACTCGATTATTTACAGACCGCCGACATATAGCTGATATACTGCTGAGTGCAGTGTAAAACTAATCTCACAACAAGGAAATATGTATACACATATACCAATATATCACATTCAGTATTTGTGTAATAGGTCCACTCAGAATGCAGGTGGTAGTGTAATGGTTTAAGTGTTCGCTCGGCACACCAAAGGCCCAGGTTCAATCCCCACATCGGTACAATGCGTGAAGCCCTTTTCTGGTGTTGCCATGCTGTGACATTGCTGGAATATTGCTGAAAGCGACTTAAACCATACTCACAATATTGAGAATCATTAGTTAATCTGCTCTCCTTCACCACAGTTATCATATAGGAATATATGTCCCATATTGTATTGATCTTATTGTACATTGGTTGACCAAGGGACATAACTCTTGTTGAATCTGTCAGCACATAAACATTTCAGTGCTTATACTTTGTAAATAGTCCTTAGTTTCAGTTGGGAAGGAGTGTTGTAATGCATAATTCCTTTCATTGCAGGGTTGCAGACATTCCCGAGCCAGTCAAGAGCCCATCAGAGGAACCACCAGCCAAGGTATGGATGGTTTGGTCAAAGTCGAAATATACAATATCAACTAAGTAGGATTAGCTGCTCCAGTTTGGTTGACAGCGATCTAAGAGGCGACTAAAGGGATCGGGTGGTCAGGCTCGCTGACTTGGTTGACACATGACATCGTATCCCACTTGTGTAGTATGATGCTCATGCTGTTGATCACTGGATTGTCTGGTCCAGACTCGATTATTTACAGACCGCCACTATATACTTCATTTGTGATATCAATCGTATTTACCACTTTGTGTATTCAATATTAGATTAGACACCAAATTAACTTTACTAAAGGAATCCTAAAGGAGTCATAATGAAGTGGGGAGGTGGTAGTGTTGTGCTTCCCTGCCTTTATAAGGCCCATTTCTGTTGTCCCCGTGTTATTAATACTGCTAAAAGCAATTATAACACAACTCACTCACACACTCATTTCTCAAGTATTTGTTTCAGAGGGTTAAGTTAGAAGACATTGCCCCAAGTGAAGACTACAGCAAAACCAATGGCCTCCAAAAACAAAACTCCAAAGTAAGTGGCATCCAAGCTAAAATCAATTTCTTACATTCAAACATATTCCTGTGTCCAAGTTTCAAGATGCCTGGATGCCTACATGGCAAATATGGTAATTCCAGTTTCCATTAATGAGAGCTGGTTGATTCATGGTCATCTTGGTGTTTATATCAAACTTGCAATCCGACTATGAAATACTGAACGTATAACCAGCATTGTGTGTGGTTTCAGGAGACGAAGCTAACCGTGGCCCAGAAGAAGCTCAGCAAGGTCGACAAGACTGGAATGAAGAGCATCTCAAGCTTTTTCTCACCAAAGGTCAAGACCTGACCTTGACCTTCAACCTGACATTGACTTTCCCAAAAACATGTAGAGGTGCTACAGTACAAAAGGATACTATACGTATCAAGACTGACAGGCAATGATACAATATGTATCACAATGTACCAGAAGAGTGGCAACAAATTGTATCTTCCCTGTTCATTCTTCATGTCCATTACAACATGTATCAGGGAATCTGCCATGTTTAGTTTTTGTGTAACAAGCCAGGCTGAAGTGAAAACTGGGCAGGAAAGCTACAGAGGGATTGTTTTTTGTTAAGCAAGTGAAAAGCAAGTTTGTATCATGTTTTGCAATACAGGTCCATATGTATCCTGCATCCTGCCGAAGGCGTATCGTTCCAACGTTAAAAACCCATGAAGATCAACCCATGAAGATCCGGGTTAGAATTGGTCTTCAGCAACCCATGCTTGTCCTAAATGGCGACTGATGGGATCGGGTGGTCAGGTTTGCTGACATGGTTGAAACATGTCATCATATCCCAGTTGTGTAGATTGATGCTCATTCTGTTGATCACTGGATTGTCTGGTCCAGACTCTGTTGTACAAACCGAGTCTGACCACCCGATTCCATTAGTAGCCTCTTACGACAAGCATGGGTTACTGAAGACCAATTCTAACCCGGATCTTCACAGGTGTTCTACATAAGGATCTTAGTGCTAAGATGATTGTAAGTTCCACCAAGCTTGATAATCATGGAACTGATATCCTTTGTTGAATGAGGCCAGGGGCTCCTTTCACGAAGCAACCTTTACTAAGGTCAACCCCCATTCTTTAACATTGCACTAAGGTTACCTTAGTGACTTACGATCACCTTAGTGCTTTGTGAAAAGAAGCTCAGGGTGCCGTTGTACAAAACAACCTTAGCACTAAGACTATCGTAAGTCTATGTTAAGGTATGGGACTTACAGTTACCTTAACGCTAAGACTATCGTAAGTCTATGTTAAGGTATGGGACTTACAGTTACCTTAGCGCTAAGACTATCGTAAGTCTATGTTAAGGTATGGGACTTACAGTTACCTTAACGCTAAGACTATCGTAAGTCTATGTTAAGGTATGGGACTTACAGTTACCTTAGCTCTAAGACTATCGTAAGTCTATGTTAAGGTATGGGACTTACAGTTACCTTAGCTCTAAGATTGCTTTGTACAACGGCACCCAGGTCAGTTGTAAGTCCCAAATACATAGTAGGAGGTGGTTAAAGTGGGAACTAGGTGATCAGACTTACCGATTGCAGGTCACCATGACCTGAGGGAATGTATAGTTGCTCATGCCTTCAGTCACAGGTTTTCTAGTCCAGAAATTAATATTTAGCTCATAGCAAAACACTGCTTCTATAGTGCTGTACATCAAGCCCATGCATCTTGTATGTTTCATTTGTTTTGGACTGCATGAGTGAGTTTAGTTTAACGCTGCACTCAGCAATATTCCAACTCTGTGTAAATAATTGAGTCTGGACCAGACATTCCAGTGATCAGCAGTATGAGCATATAAACATTTGGGATACGATGACCAAGTCAGCAAGCCTGACCACCCGATCCCCTTAGTCGCCTCTTATGACAAGCGTGGCGTCAGAATCTTATATATATTGATAAATGTGGTTTTGGTACAATTTGAGTAGTTATTTTTATTTTGTGTGGTGATTTATTAGAATTATCAGTTAAAACAAACTGGATATTATTGTGATCATTTACATTTAGCATGGTAGTTTTTGGAGCAGGAGGGTGACAGCAGAATTGTCTCCCTTGGGCTGGGTCGTGGATGCTTTTAGCGAGTGTGTGGCACCTTCATCACACTGCAGTTCTTGCAATAATATAGAGGTGAGGTGAGGTGAAATTGGGTTTTACGTCGTGCTTGAGAATATTTCGCTTATATGACGACGTGCATGCGTGTGTATGTGTATGTGTGGCTGCTTGTACTAGCCCAGACTTAAGCTGGTTTTATAGTGCTAGCCCACTGAGATACCATGCCGCAGTGAAGCATGAATACCCCACTCAGACACATTATACTGACTCCGAGCCGACCAGTCCTTGTTGTACCCATTAATGCCGAGCGCCAGGCACGGACCAACAAGTACCATATTTGAACGTCTTTTGGTATGACGCGGTCGGGGATCGAACCCGCGACCTTCCGCTCTCCGGGCGGACGCTCTAACCACTACACCACGGAGGCGGTCAATAATATAGAGAGCTCTGCTAAAAGGCTCATTGATATGAAAGTATCAGTCAAGACTGGCTCCAGAGGAAATATCGTTTTTGTGAGATCAAGTGATATCACCATACTACTTTCTTAATGCAACTAAGGTGCTGTTTACAAAAGTAACTAGAGTTTGTTCAAGCCATAAGTGTAATTAGGTACATTGTATGTCAAAATGTGTCAAGTTACAGATGTGCATTGAAGTCTGTCAAAAGATCTTGGCATTATTTATCAGAAGCATTAAAGAACTTGTTGAAACCATGAACCTGTTTGCTATTTATCACAGGAGACAGACCACACTGAGGGAAGCAAATTAGCTCTGGACCTGGCACATTTCCACTCGTCTGTAAATGTCTGTAAACATCATCTACCCATCAGTTTGAATATACATCTTCTCTGATGAATAACTTTGAAGAATTTCATGTTTCCCCCTAAGTCTGATTTTCATATATATTTTTGGTTATTGTGTAAAAACACCTTGAATACTCGTTACTGGTTGTTTTTGTAATGAGTAAATCGTTTTCAAAAACAAAAGATTAAACCTTTCAGTATTCCTGAAATCATCTTGTACCTCATGCGGCAGTCCCCACTCAACCAAACTGTTGGCCATGTTTGTACAGACTGAAAGGCCACCAAAAATATGTTTTCTCACCACAACGATGTGGTTGACACATGCCATCGGTTCCTAATTGCGCAGGTCGATGCTCATGCTGTTGATCACTGGATTGTCTGGTCCAGACTCAATTATTTACAGACCACCGCCATATAGTTGGAATATTGCTGAGTGCGGCGTTAAACAACAACCAACCAAAGTTTGAAGCTGAACATCAAGGGAAGATATATTTAGTGAGATCTTTTACACCGGTCCCCCTCCCAGATTGGTTGGTTTCTTATTTAACGACGCAATAATTCCAGCTGTATTCAAGCTGTATGGCGGCCTCTACCCAGGAGTTGAAAGGTAAACGATCCGCAAAGCTGCAGTACTCCACAAGTAGTATTACCATGATGGTACTGCCGCAGATGCGGCTAAGAGGCTTATTTGTGGGAACTTAGCCTCCCAGCCCCCTTAAAAAAATAGCGAGAGTTATCAGCCGGCTTGCCAGTGTGATGGTTAGAGCGTTTGACTCGTAATCCAGGGGTTCACGCAAGGTATCCGTAATATTGAGTGACAACTTTGTGGATGGGGTCTACCATAAACTCGTCCAAGTAAGCTACGGAGTAGGTGGAGTACGGGGCGGTGCGTTCCCTGGTTGTCAGGCTATAATCGACTAACGTATCCATGAGACGTTGTAACCGTTCGGTGCCCACGAAACCTAAACTATCGTACAGAGTGGTGAATTTCACTCGACTTATGACTCGACGCAGGGCTGAGTAAATATCGAGTTTATGGACGTCCACCCCGACACGTCTGAACAACCGTTCCTCGATCAATCTCCACATGCTGATAATGAGACATAGACAAATCTTTGTCTATATAGAAAGCTATGTGAGGGACCGTGTCGTGAGGTACGATCATCAACTCCTCTCTGACGAATGGTCTCGGCGACCCGTCTTTCAAGTAGTACAAGTTCGGTTCGCTGTCTTCGATGTCGACTCTGTCGATGTACGTTTTCATGGACCATATCGGGTCGGTGGCGCGTTTTCTGCTGTCTCCCTTGTATTCGCCCGGCTGGTACAAGTACCTCACGCCGTACACGCCCGTCTTTACCAACAACAACCGATGGGTGTTCGTACCCTCTCGAATCGACTGGAATCTCAACATCGCGCTAGACTCTCCCCACCTGTTCACGGAAAACAAAGACCACCACCTCACAAAAGTGGTGAACAATGGAACGCTGATCGTGGCTTACTTCCCGACGCAGCGTCGTCGTGAGCACGCTGTCGCAACCCATAGCTCACATCCTATCGAGTAAACCCGGGACGTCAAACGCGACGTTGCAGTTAGTGTCGGAATTCGACAGCGTTGTCGACATCCTGCAAAATCTGCCTCCGCAATCCACGCTGATCATCTACCTCGGCGAACCAGGGGTTGGTAACGTCGAAATCGTCAAAGGCATCAAACTCCAGTGGACCCAACAACACCAATACCACGTTTGCTCCGTTTACGTACGGGTGGACGTGGATGCCTTCACCAGTCAGCAGGGAGTCAACGTCACCGTGGAAAACACGATATCGCTCACGAAAACTTTTCTTACACGATACCATACATCTGATGGGTTTGAAATGCACGGCCGAAAATTTATCCGAAAACCAATTAAAATTTCTCTAATATATATCATGAGTGTCATTGCAAACGTGACTCCGCAAGCCACCATCGCTTTCTCCGATCTCGGGGACACGCGAGGATTCGACGAACCCGGTACGGAAAACGCCTTGTACGTCCTGCACTTACAAAACAACGTGTACCAACGTCGCGAAGTCATCGTCGAATTGAACTGGATCATCATCCTGACCTACCCCTATCATGGATCAGGATCGTCATATCCTCGAACTAAAAACAATGGGATTCTACTGGGGAGCTTTATTCCGTTTCATAAAAAAGGGAATGTACGCATCACCATTACCAGATCAACGGGTTATATGCTAGTCCCTCACTCGGAAGACGCAACGAAATGGCTCTATTTAAAACGATATAGTGAAGTCCCAGACTCGTGGATCACTGTGATATCAGGTTCTACCCTTATTATCGACGTCGTTCTTGGAAATTTCATTCAGAAATTCAGCAATATTTCACAATCAATGGTTTGAGGGAGTGAGAACGGTTTTGCTCAGCTTTGAGCAATATCAGGGCAGGGGAAACTGAAATGGGCTTCACATATCGTATCCATGTGAGGGATCGAACTCGGGTCTTCGAAGTGACGAACGAACACTTTAACCTCTAGGCTACCCCTACCTTGATTGAACAAGACATAAGATGTTCTCCGTTTATGACAAATTAACTTGAGATAATTCGATGAAGAATAGACTAAATTGGTGTACGTCATTGTGCCAAACGGTTAAACTCACTTTAGTCCGTGACGAGCAAAGGAAAGTCTTCTCCTAATTCTGAAACTGGCAATAAATAAACCAAGGCAGAAATGACAACTCGGCGTGGACACATTTGATGCTGTTATCATTTTTTTGCAGTGTTTTCAGCCAAGAAACCCTTTGACGTTTTGTATTTTGTAAAACTATTTTCAAGCGTACACTTTCTTTAGACCAGCAGTTTACTTTCATACACGGCTTGTCTTCTGATTCAGATTTGCCCAAAATGAAATTATTTAA